ACACAAAATGAATTTAATAAAATATTTCGAATTATGGAATTTATGCTTTGGCATAAATTTCAATTTAGTTCAAAGTACCGAAAATCACTGGATAACCCAAAATCGTGTTTATCGAATTTACAAAAATCTCCTCGCCGTTCTGGCCATTGCCCTAATGCCCATCTACAATATTTATGGATATGGTTATATGGATGGATATATGGAGAAGCCATTGCTGCCATTATTGAATCGCCTGAATGTTCAAATACAGAGTCTGCTGGTCGTAATGACCCTGGTCGATAAACTGAAAACATCTCAGCATGCCCATCACGAACTGTGCCGACAATTAAGGCAGTTGGAAATAACCTGCAACTCTAGCAGTCGCTATAAATCGCTTTTGTGTGGGAAATCAATTTGTTCCCTCTCCCATTTTTTCATCATCCTAATGGGGGTGAAATATGGCATGGAAAAACGTCAGCATACCCTTTTGGATATATTCCTCCTAACCTATTTCACCATTGTCCAATATATCCTGCAAGTTCGTCTGTTTGAATTTTTTTATTTGTTAATAAAAATCCAAGGGAAATTTGATGATTTGCAGCGGCAGTTGGAGGAGCTACTTTCCAAAGAGGAGCCATTAAATGAAAGACAATTATTTCAGCTTCTTCAGCAATTATCCACCCTGGATCGTATCTGTCCAGCCTTAATGCAGTATTATCAGTTCTATTTTATGGCCTTTTTGATAAATTTCTTTATAACGAATACCATTTTTATTTATATGGTCTTCCTGGAGGCCCAAAGGCGAACGCATAAAAATGTTGTAACCCTATTTACGGTGTGCATGGCATTCTTACGATATTTTGATATTTATTTGTCGCTGATATGCTGTGAGGGCATTGAAAGGAGACGAGCGGAATTCATTCAGCATTTAAAGGATTATCAAAGGGAGTCAAGGGTGGTAAGTAGGAAAAAAAGTCTTTAAAAAACTGAAAATTAGTTAAAAAATCCACACCTTATGGTAGGCCTGAGGTTCCAATCATTGGACATGCATTCCTCTAGCCAAATTGTACTAATCAGCTGGTGCATGCTCCTGACCAGCATCTGACCACCAGTCTTGAATAATTCGGTTGGTAGCCCATTGACTCCTGCTCCTTTATTATTCTTCAGCCGATTGATTGCTATTCTGACCTCATCTTGGCTAGGTGGTATACACTCTATACCATCATCTCTTATTGGTTCCGGGGTATCTTCTTTACCACCACTATTTGATACCAGAAGCTTTTCAAAATGCTCCTTCCAGATCCTCAGCACGCTGTCTGTATCTGTCACCAGGTTTCCTTCTTCATCTCTACAGGGGGATGTGCCTGCACCAAAACCTTCGATTTGGTATTTTACTCGTTGGTAAAATTTCCGGACTTCATTGTGACTCCTGTACATCTCGATTTGCTCACGCTCATGTTTTTCTTGTTCTTTCTTCATTTTCCTGAAAATACGTTTCTCCTTTTCTCCCAATAGTTCTCCATCGCATTACGTGTTGCTACTGTCCGCAGGGTTGCCCTGTACGCTGCGTTTTTCACATCGGTAGCATTACGGCACTCCTGATCTTACCACAGATTTCTTGATGGTGGTCTTTGGTACCCAAGTTTGGCTTTTGCTGCATTTTGTAGGGAGTGGTCAATTATCTGCAACTCTGTGCTTCTATATTATTATCGGGACAAGGGGTGCTTTCGTCAAGCAGTTGGGTAAGTTGAGCGGAGTAGGCTTCTGCTATCTGTTGTGTTTGCAGCTTTTCGACGTCAAATTTCCGTGTTACATTAGATCGTACCTTTGCTGCTACATTAAGACGGGTGCGTACCTTGGCTGCCACAAGGTAATGGTCCGAGTCGATATTCGCTCCTCGGATCGATCGGACGTCTAAAACACTGGATGAATGCCTTCCGTCTATCACAACATGATCGATTAGATTTCTCGTTTTTTCGGGATCGGGAGAAATCCAGGTGGCCTTGTGTATATCGAGATGATTGAATCTGATGCTGCTAACTACCATGTGTTTTTGCTGCCGCGAAGTCAATCAACTTCATGCCATTGTCGGTTGTTTTTTCATGGAGGCTGAATTTTCTGACGTTCCATCAAAACGATTTCCCTACGATTTTTGCATTAAAATCTCCTAGCACAACTTTAATGTCATGGCTAGGGCAGCGGTCATATGCTGTTTCTTGGCGCTCCTAAAATATGTCTTTGGTCTGCTCATCTTTATCTTCGGTCGGAGCATTGGCGCAAATGAGACTGATGTAGAAGAACACAATGGCCCACGACGTTCCTTAAAAATTTGCCACAATGCGGTCTCTACCGAAGTTCAGTTTCCCCTCACGCTCCCTAAGGTACCTCTCCCCTGATGGGTCAACCGCAACTTTCGCCACCATACCACCATCCTCGTTACAGGGAGTTGGACTGACAACTGTCCAGCTCGATGTAGTGAGGCTGGGGTTTTGTAGCGCCAGCATCTGCAGCAAGAGCTCATTGTCCACTGAAGGAGGGGGAACCCAGGCTGAAAGGACCCGTCTTGTTGGGATTTCTGATAGTGCGCGCCAAAGCCACTAACGGTTTTCACAAGGAAATCCTTTGATTTCTTGTTTAAACAGTTAATGACATTGGCACCCTTCTGCATGAAGGCACTACCAAACTGTCGATCCCCTTGGTCCGGCCCACAGACGATAGCCGACCGAAGGGCTCCTTCAAATAGCAACCAATGACTATCACTGATTCTGCCTAGAACTTGACATTTCCGTTGAAGGTAGGCGCATCCCCACCGTCCATAATCCGTAAATCCTTGGGGTGGTCTTCGATAGCCTCCTTTATTTCTCCTCGCATTCCAATTACATCAACCAGAAGGTGAACGCTAGGAATAAAGTTCTGAAAGCTTTGGCTGGCACCTCCTGGGACAAGGATAAAGAAACGTTGGTAACGACTTATAAGGCTATAGGTCGTTCCATCCTGAATTATGCTGCCCCAGTCTGGACTTCTTTCCTTAGCGACACACAATGGAGATCATTGCAAACATCCCAAAATAATGCACTCCGAATTGCAACCGGGTGTGTCCAGATGACGAGCGTCGATCACCTGCTTGAGAAGACCATGATGCTGTCAGTCAAGCAACATAATGTGTTGTTGACTAGACAGTTCCTGCTGGCATGCTATCTGCCGTGTCATCCTAACCATCACACTGTGATGGCAGATCCACCTCCGCGACACACTCCGCCATCGGACGTCAACAGATTGTCGATAGCGAACGCGATGAAATCCGTGCATCAACTGGCGGTCTCCGATGCCATAAATGTGCAACAGATGCAATAAAGTCCTACAACAACATCCTCCTGCAATTTCGGAGAGTGAGAGGCTTCTTCCTAGGCAAACCCGTTCAATTCTGGCACAACTAAGGTCCGGATACAGCAATGTACTCAATTCGTATCGAGAGCGCATTGTCCCCGGAACCCTAAACAGGTGTCCTTCCTGCCAGCAAAGCCCTCACGACACACACCATTTATTCAATTGTCCGTCCGAGCCTACGAGTCTATTGCTCATAGACTTATGGCTAAAGCCAATAGAGGTGCCACAATTTCTCCGGCTACCCTCTTCAAATCCGAATTCCTAATTAATTAATTTATTTTCCTTTTCCTTCTTCAGTTTTCTTCTATCAACATTTTTCAGGAAATAACTTTCGTCAACAGCCAACCTGTTACAACAACAACAACTGATTCTGCCACGAGGATCAGTTTTGTCAATGATTGCCACTAGAAGGTGTTCTTCAGCGTCTACCTTTGTTGGTCTATCATACGGCTAACGCTGTCGTCGACTATGAACCTTGGAGGTCGCCTTTCCAGAAGAGTTTGAAGCCTTTTCCGTACTTGGCCGTTTCTCCGCCGTTTGTTGTCCAGCGCAGGCCGCATAAAAGGTAGAAAGATCTACCAGACGAGAAGTCATCGTCTTCTTGGGTGAGGGTTGCGGACCGTCAGAAAAGCGGATGCGCTTCACAGATTTATTCTGTGGGGCGATATCTGCTTCCCCTAGAAGACGATTGTTCCTTGACTGACTTCCCCTTCATCCTGTTTCGACCACTTTTGGATCCATCACAGCTTTTGCCTCACCTCTGTCATTAGGCGCAGAATCGGGCTTTGAGACAGAACCCTCCGCACGTTGATCATGCTTATGGGTGACATTTTGCATTGGGATACTCTCAGTTGCCTTTAGACCTATTGAGGCGCCTCCTTAAAATATCATTCTCAATTTCCGCTGCTTGCAGTGCCATTTCAATTCACTTCACATCGACATTGCAGACTTGAACTACATCCTCAACATTTTTTTTTAATTATGATTTTTTTTTCTTTTCCAGCTCCTCACTTTCCTCTGGAAACTCTCCGTTTATAAATTCTCTTTCAACATTTATGGCATGTTTGATTTAAGGAAAAACCTAGCCTTCCTGGTGTTGGCCACTGTGGTAATGCATGGCATTATTGTTATACAATTTGATTATATTTTTAAAAAATAAATTTATCAATTTTTTTTATAACAGAATATAACATTTATTTCAAAAAGAAAAAAGAAAATTATTATTAATAGATAATTATTGATTTCACAAAAATATTCGAATATATATTTTTTTTAATTTTATTTTTTTAACATATATAGTAGTTACTAAAATACCATTTCTTATTTAATTAATATCTCATATATAGTGTCAGAATTATTTTAGTTTTTTTCTCTTCATTTAGAAATGCTAAAAATTTCACTGGGTAGGAGGGAGGGAAGGAGGGTGTGTTAATATGATTTTTTTGTTGAGATATAAATTTGCAAAAAGATGTTGGTGTGGGTGTGTGATTGCACAAACGCAGGTTTTTTTTTAATTCTATACTATTTCAAATTCAAGAAAAATAAACAAAACAAAAAAATATTTCACAAAAAAATTTTGGAAAAAAAACAACAGCTACTCCTTGAAGATTTATAAATAAATAATAACTAAAAAAACAAAAAATAGACCCCTAAATACTACATATATTCCAACATTATCCATTCCAACAAAATGTCGCCCGATTATTAATGGCAAATGGATCGGTTTTCATTTTCATTTGATTCTCCTCGACACAACGCCCCAACGGATCGACATAATTCGGTTTGTCATCATCCTTCATGGGTGTCCATATCTTAATGTCATGATCAATACCCGATGTGGCCATTAGACACAGCTCCGGGTGCGGCAAAACACAATTGACAATGGCACTATCAGCCTTATAGATACTATGGATGTTACCCGATTTCCGTTCCCATATAAAAAAGTTACCATCATCCGAACCGGCCACAATGTACTGACCATCATAGCCAAAATAGTTTGCCTCCTTTATATCTGTTGTAGTGTTACAATGGCCCACAAATCGCTCCTTGTAGTCTTTGGCCTTACAACGCCAATAGAATTCCTCATCGGACATTTCGCCACGAGCCAGCAAATCTGCCACAGCCGATTGTTGTTGTTGCTGTTGATGGGACGGTGTTGTTTGACGATTCTCTTTAATATCCTTATTCAACATTAGTACCCCATGATTATTGGCATAGCTGGGGAAGCGACGTATCAATTCCTTTAGGCACTCATCAGCATCCTGCGGCCGGCCCAATTCCAACAGCGAACGGGCCAAACGAAAATGCGCTTTGACATAGTAGGGATCCAGACGCAGTGCCGTATGGCAATCCCTTAACGCAGCATAGATATCACCAAACCACTGCCTGCGCATATAGGCTGTGGCCCGATTTAAATACAACACCGGTGAGGCAAACGAAGCCAAACGTATGGCATCGGAATAGGTGCGTATCGCCAGATAATATTTTTCATTTTCCAAAAATTCATTACCCCATTTTTTATACTCCTCAATTTGTTCGGGCAGTTTGCGGCGATTATGACTTGCTGCCGACTGCTGCTGTTGGTCCTTTGAAGTTGTTGTTGTTGTATCCGAGGAATCTGTTTCATTTGAAGATGGTGGCGGTGTTGGGGGTGCCTTGAATTCGGGTAAATTTAAAAATACCGGTTGCTCAGCATTGTACAGATCGTAAATGTAAATATGTTCAGCTCCCATATTGACTAGCAGTTCGGTACCGGTGGCATTGAACGTTAGATATGTTATTGCTCGCGATTCGTGTTCAATACGTTTGCTGTTGTTTTTACTAATATGTCCCGGGCAATAATAGGTGACACATTCTTTGGGTATATCGCCAGTTTCCAGGGCATCTGAAAGTCAAAAAAGAAAACCGATTAGAAAGGTTTGGAAGGTCCAATAAAAAATTATTTTAAAAATCTGCGCCTCTGATAGATCTCGGAAAAGATTATTTTAAAAATCTACGCCTCTGATAGATCTCGGAAAGGATTATTTTAAAAATCTACGCCTCTGATAGATCTCGGAAAAGATTATTTTAAAAATCTACGCCTCTGATAGATCTCGGAAAAGATTATTTTAAAAATCTACGCCTCTGATAGATATCGGAAAAGATTATTTTAAAAATCTACGCCTCTGATAGATCTCGGAAAAGATTATTTTAAAAATCCACGCCTTCGATAGACCAGAGAAAAAATATTTTAAAAATCTACGCCTCTGGTAGATCTCGGTAAAGATTATTTTAAAAATCCACGCATTCGATATACCAGAGAAAAAAATATTTTAAAAAAAGATTATTTTAAAAATCGACGGCTCTGATAGTTCTCGGAAAAGATTATTTTAAAAATCTACGCTTCTGATAGATCTCGGAAAAGATTATTTTAAAAATCTACGCCTCTGATAGATCCCGAAAAAGATTATTTTAAAAATCTACGCCTCTGATAGATCTCGGAAAAGATTATTTTAAAAATCTACGCCTCTGATAGATCTCGGAAAAGATTATTTTAAAAATCTACGCCTCTGATAGATCTCGGAAAAGATTATTTTAAAAATCTACGCCTCTGATAGATCTCGGAAAAGATTATTTTAAAAATCTACGCCTCTGATAGATCTCGGAAAAGATTATTTTAAAAATCCACGCATTCGATAGACCAGAGAAAAAATATTTTAAAAATCTACGCCTCTGATAGATCTCGGAAAAGATTATTTTAGAAATCTACGCCTTCCGTAGACCAAAAAAAAATCTTTTAAAAATCTACCCCTTCAATAGACCCCTAACAAAATTCTTTTAAATATCCACACCTTCTATAGGATTTGTTTTAAAAATTTACGCCTTATAGGGACACTCTAAAATATTTTTTAATCCATGCCCTGTTGAGCCCCTTACCATTCAAAGACGATGAAAACGTCTTTAGCATACGTCTATCATAAATCCGGGCATATGGATCATTGGCACCCACAGCAATATACTCGGTGCGTATGGGATTAACAGCAATACATTTGGCCTCAGCATTAGGATCAATATAGGCTGTCAAATTAATAAGGCTAACACTATTGCTGGGCGAACGACAGACATGCTTCTCACGATGATCCAATTGTAAGACACAGCCATCTTCACCAGCGGACCTGAAATAAATACAAAACAGAGTACATTAGTGGATAGAAGGTGGATGTTAGAAGGTTTATATCTCTTACCAAAATATAAATGGCGAATCGGGAGCGGTGGCTAAACGTTTCACCCTCGAACCATGACATTGACATTTAAACAACGATTCATAGGGCGACGATGAGTTAATATCAAACAGCATTATGGTCTTATCAGCAGCCGCTGTGGCAATTAAACTATCATTGGATTTGGGTAGAAATTTAACCGAAAACATATTCCCCAAATGTTTCGTGTGTATCGTCTGTAAACGTTTCTGTTTAAAGGGGTTCCATAGAATCAATTGAAAATCATCGGACCCAGAGGCTAAAATACGACCATCACTACTCCATTCTAGACAATTGACACAACCTTCATGACCCTTGAGTATGCAATCCTGTTCCAGACGTTGTATAAAAGGCGGTGAGGCATGCAGACGTCTACGCACTTGCGTCCCGAAATCCGTATAGAGCATACGATTATTGAGGAGATGAGCAATATTATTGCTTTGATAATCATAACTTTTCGAGTTTCTCATTGTGGTGATCTGTAAGGAAGAGAGAGAGAGAGAGATAAGACTTTGTAAATCATTAAAAAAAAGAAAAATTAAAAAAGAATCATTTTAAAAATCCACGCCTTCTATAGACCCCAGAAAGAATCATTTTAAAAATCCACGCCTTCTATAGACCCCAGAAAGAATCATTTTAAAAATCCACGCCTTCTATAGACCCCAGAAAGAATCATTTTAAAAATCCACGCCTTCTATAGACCCCAGAAAGAATCATTTTAAAAATCCACGCCTTCTATAGACCCCAGAAAGAATCATTTTAAAAATCCACGCCTTCTAAGCGTCTGGAAAAAAATTATTTTAAAAATCCACGCCTTCTATAGACCCCAGAAAGAATCATTTTAAAAATCCACGCCTTCTATAGACCCCAGAAAGAATCATTTTAAAAATCCACGCCTTCTATAGACCCCAGAAAGAATCATTTTAAAAATCCACGCCTTCTATAGACCCCAGAAAGAATCATTTTAAAAATCCACGCCTTCTATAGACCCCAGAAAGAATCATTTTAAAAATCCACGCCTTCTATAGACCCCAGAAAGAATCATTTTAAAAATCCACGCCTTCTATAGACCCCAGAAAGAATCATTTTAAAAATCCACGCCTTCTATAGACCCCAGAAAGAATCATTTTAAAAATCCACGCCTTCTATAGACCCCAGAAAGAATCATTTTAAAAATCCACGCCTTCTATAGACCCCAGAAAGAATCATTTTAAAAATCCACGCCTTCTATAGACCCCAGAAAGAATCATTTTAAAAATCCACGCCTTCTATAGACCCCAGAAAGAATCATTTTAAAAATCCACGCCTTCTATAGACCCCAGAAAGAATCATTTTAAAAATCCACGCCTTCTATAGACCCCAGAAAGAATCATTTTAAAAATCCACGCCTTCTATAGACCCCAGAAAGAATCATTTTAAAAATCATTTTAAAAATCCACGCCTTCTATAGACCCCAGAAAGAATCATTTTAAAAATCCACGCCTTCTATAGACCCCAGAAAGAATCATTTTAAAAATCCACGCCTTCTATAGACCCCAGAAAGAATCATTTTAAAAATCCACGCCTTCTATAGACACCAGAAAGAATCATTTTAAAAATCCACGCCTTCTATAGACCCCAGAAAGAATCATTTTAAAAATCCACGCCTTCTATAGACCCCAGAAAGAATCATTTTAAAAATCCACGCCTTCTATAGACCCCAGAAAGAATCATTTTAAAAATCCACGCCTTCTATAGACCCCAGAAAGAATCATTTTAAAAATCCACGCCTTCTATAGACCCCAGAAAGAATCATTTTAAAAATCCACGCCTTCTATAGACCCCAGAAAGAATCATTTTAAAAATCCACGCCTTGTATAGACCCCAGAAAGAATCATTTTAAAAATCCACGCCTTCTATAGACCCCAGAAAGAATCATTTTAAAAATCCACGCCTTGTATAGACCCCAGAAAGAATCATTTTATAAATCCACGCCTTGTATAGACCCCAGAAAGAATCATTTTATAAATCCACGCCTTGTATAGACCCCAGAAAGAATCATTTTATAAATCCACGCCTTGTATAGACCCCAGAAAGAATCATTTTATAAATCCACGCCTTGTATAGACCCCAGAAAGAATAATTTTATAAATCCACGCCTTGTATAGACCCCAGAAAGAATCATTTTATAAATCCACACCTTTGATAGACCCCAGAAGGAATCATTTTAAAAATCCACGCTTTTGATAGACCCCAGAAGGAATCATTTTTGATAGACCCCAGAAGGAATCATTTTAAAACTCCACGCCTTTGATAGACCCCAGAAGGAATCATTTTAAAAATCCACGCCTTTGATAGACCCCAGAAGGAATCATTTTAAAAATCCACGCCTTGTATACACCCCAGAAAGAATCATTTTAAAAATCCACGCCTTCTATAGACCCCAGAAAGAATCATTTTAAAAATCCACGCCTTCTATAGACCCCAGAAGGAATCATTTTAAAAATCCACGCCTTCTATAGACCCCAGAAAGAATCATTTTAAAAATCCACGCCTTTGATAGACCCCAGAAGGAATCATTTTAAAAATCCACGCCTTTGATAGACCCCAGAAGGAATCATTTTAAAAATCCACGCCTTTGATAGACCCCAGAAGGAATCATTTTAAAAATCCACGCCTTTGATAGACCCCAGAAAGAATCATTTTAAAAATCCACGCCTTCTATAGACCCCAGAAGGAATCATTTTAAAAATCCACGCCTTTGATAGACCCCAGAAAGAATAATTTTATAAATCCACGCCTTGTATAGACCCCAGAAAGAATCATTTTATAAATCCACACCTTTGATAGACCCCAGAAGGAATCATTTTAAAAATCCACGCTTTTGATAGACCCCAGAAGGAATCATTTTAAAAATCCACGCTTTTGATAGACCCCAGAAGGAATCATTTTAAAAATCCACGCCTTTGATAGACCCCAGAAGGAATCATTTTAAAACTCCACGCCTTTGATAGACCCCAGAAGGAATCATTTTAAAAATCCACGCCTTTGATAGACCCCAGAAGGAATCATTTTAAAAATCCACGCCTTTGATAGACCCCAGAAAGAATCATTTTAAAAATCCACGCCTTCTATAGACCCCAGAAGGAATCATTTTAAAAATCCACGCCTTTGATAGACCCCAGAAAGAATAATTTTATAAATCCACGCCTTGTATAGACCCCAGAAAGAATCATTTTATAAATCCACACCTTTGATAGACCCCAGAAGGAATCATTTTAAAAATCCACGCTTTTGATAGACCCCAGAAGGAATCATTTTAAAAATCCACGCTTTTGATAGACCCCAGAAGGAATCATTTTAAAAATCCACGCCTTTAATAGACCCCAGAAGGAATCATTTTAAAACTCCACGCCTTTGATAGACCCCAGAAGGAATCATTTTAAAAATCCACGCCTTTGATAGACCCCAGAAGGAATCATTTTAAAAATCCACGCCTTGTATACACCCCAGAAAGAATCATTTTAAAAATCCACGCCTTCTATAGACCCCAGAAAGAATCATTTTAAAAATCCACGCCTTCTATAGAACCCAGAAGGAATCATTTTAAAAATCCACGCCTTCTATAGACCCCAGAAAGAATCATTTTAAAAATCCACGCCTTTGATAGACCCCAGAAGGAATCATTTTAAAAATCCACGCCTTTGATAGACCCCAGAAGGAATCATTTTAAAAATCCACGCCTTTGATAGACCCCAGAAGGAATCATTTTAAAAATCCACGCCTTTGATAGACCCCAGAAAGAATCATTTTAAAAATCCACGCCTTCTATAGACCCCAGAAGGAATCATTTTAAAAATCCACGCCTTTGATAGACCCCAGAAAGAATAATTTTATAAATCCACGCCTTGTATAGACCCCAGAAAGAATCATTTTATAAATCCACACCTTTGATAGACCCCAGAAGGAATCATTTTAAAAATCCACGCTTTTGATAGACCCCAGAAGGAATCATTTTAAAAATCCACGCTTTTGATAGACCCCAGAAGGAATCATTTTAAAAATCCACGCCTTTGATAGACCCCAGAAGGAATCATTTTAAAACTCCACGCCTTTGATAGACCCCAGAAGGAATCATTTTAAAAATCCACGCCTTTGATAGACCCCAGAAGGAATCATTTTAAAAATCCACGCCTTGTATACACCCCAGAAAGAATCATTTTAAAAATCCACGCCTTCTATAGACCCCAGAAAGAATCATTTTAAAAATCCACGCCTTCTATAGACCCCAGAAGGAATCATTTTAAAAATCCACGCCTTCTATAGACCCCAGAAAGAATCATTTTAAAAATCCACGCCTTTGATAGACCCCAGAAGGAATCATTTTAAAAATCCACGCCTTTGATAGACCCCAGAAGGAATCATTTTAAAAATCCACGCCTTTGATAGACCCCAGAAGGAATCATTTTAAAAATCCACGCCTTTGATAGACCCCAGAAGGAATCATTTTAAAAATCCACGCCTTTGATAGACCCCAGAAAGAATCATTTTATAAATCAATGCCTTGTATAGACCCCAGAAAGAATCATTTTATAAATCCATGCCTTGTATAGACCCCAGAAAGAATCATTTTATAAATCCACGCCTTGTATAGACACCAGAAAGAATCATTTAATAAATCCACGCCTTGTATAGACCCCAAAAAGAATCATTTTAAAAATTCACGCCTTCTATAGACCCTAGAAAGAATCATTTTAAAAATTCACGCCTTCTATAGACCCTAGAAAGAATCATTTTAAAAATTCACGCCTTCTATAGACCCTAGAAAGAATCATTTTAAAAATCCACGCCTTCTGTAGACCCCAGAAAGAATCATTTTAAAAATCCACGCCTTCTATAGACCCCAGAAGGAATCATTTTATAAATCCACGCCTTGTATAGACCCCAGAAAAAATATTTAAAAAATCCTCGAACTTCCCAGCCGTTGTATTCCTCCAAACCCTAAAATGTTAAACCCCAATTCTGTGTCTTCATCTGGAATATAATAAATATCAATATTTTTCTTATTGTTATTTAAAATCTATAACAGATCTTACGTGCTGGCACTTGTTTATTTATGCAGACATCGACCAGAAATTGAATGCCTTGTTTCTTTAATTGCTTTTTGGGTTTATTTACCCCGTTGTCGTTGTCTTATCTCGTCACCACAAACTATTTGACGTTGCAACAAATTACTGCACTGCAGCAGCAGCAATCTTCCTTCTTGCAATCCGACTGATAGTCAATTGTAATTTTTCTTCGGTGGTATTGCCGACTTCTACGTTCTTCTGACCCCTTTTTGATTATTACTTCGTTCTTATTTTTTATTGTGATAATTTACTTTTTTTCACTCAATCTTCCAGAAGTTTTTAAATCTTCGATTTTTTACATTATTTAATAGTAGAAAAATTATTGACATTTTTTATTTCTCTTTGTTTGGGAGTTTTGCGGTCCCTGATTTTTGCTCAATTTCCGTGAGTGGCAAAGGAAAACTCCGCTTTATTTCTTGTAATTTTTCTTTTATTAAAAAACAAGTCTTCTTTTGTTGCAATAGGTTTGTTTTTATAATTTGATAAGATTGAGATGATTGCAAAAAAACTGAAGTGATTAAATTAGGGATAAGTAAATCGACTTTCGACTAAGCGATTAATCGAATTTTTGTATTGAAATTGATTAAATGTTCCTTTTAATTACAATGCCGTTTCTTAAAGTTTTGACGGCGTTGCGGAATTGGACGAAATAGCTTTGAAACGTAACTGATAAAGCCAGAATCAAAACAAACAAAGGTTATTTTTGGTTTTTCATTTGTTGGTTTCGCAAACCAGGGTTATGTAGATCGACTTTTGACTTATCGATTAATGTGAATAGGGGAAATCGGTTTTTGTTGTTATTGACATTCTAACGGCATTCTGTAGATAATCAAGATAATAGGGATAAGTAGATCGTATTTTGACTAAACAATAAAAAATAATTTAAAAATAAATTTTAAACGTAATTTGATAAAATCAATGCATTATAGTAGATCGCCTTTAAAATTTATTTTAAAAAACCCAGGCCCTGTTAAAATTATTTAAGAAAAATTTACCCTATTTCGTAGTAAACGTGATACAATAATCCAAGGTAGGATATTTTGTGGCAAATAACAAAAAAGCAACAGATATAAATAAAAAAATAATTATATAAAATAACCTCAATGCGGGACTTATAAAAAAATTAAATGTTCATTGTGCGGTTTAAGGGGGAACACATACGAGAATTAGAATTCATGCCTCGCATGCTAAGTTAGCTTTGTATGAAATTTCAATTTATAATGGAATATCAAAGTCAAACATGAATTTCGGATTTTCAGCCAACTTCAGTGTTTATTTTTAGTCCTATAAGAGGTGGTGGCATCCGCAGCGGTATCTCGTGGACCATAACGGCCGCCAGTTTACTTACTTTCTAAAGGGTATAAATAAGTTTTCTCAATGATGTCCGAAGACTCCTTAGTCACAATCTCTTCCCTAACGTGGACAAATCGAAAGTTCGGACTATCAAACTTCACCGGCAGAAAGAGGTCCTTCAGATCGATGAGTACATATCGTGATCAGCTCGGTTAATAGTAGACATTTAAACTCCAAGTTGAACAGCAGTGTCGCTACGCTCCGGATCCTATCTCCGAGACGCTTGCATCCAGACGTAAGTTTCAGTTTACGTCCTTTGCGAAGTTTTAGCTTACGTTCTCTACGAAGTTTTAACTTACGTCCTCTGCTCTGCGAAGAGCGATAATGTGAAGGACCCTATCGACTTTTGAAGGGGTCGACGTAATCGACGGATACGAAGCATTTTGGCCACCTGCAAGCGTGGGTCTTTTCGCTGCTGTTTGATGCTCATCCGAAGATTGCAATCTTTTCAAAGCCACAGTTTTTGTTGGAGTTTCGCCAGACGCGTATTCGGAAGGGGGAACCTTTCTGGAGACAATCATACTGGCTCTCCTTCTATCCGACTTAGACACTTTCTTGCCTTCATTCGTAATGGTAGGTTTTATCAAGAATTTCTCATCTCATCAGGGACACCCCCCACCCCCCCCCCCCAAAGGTCCTGATTATTAAGAGATCCCTGGCATCATTTTCCCACTCTTTGGGAACTACCGATGAAATTTCAGTTTTCTCTTGATCTGAATGAATTCCTTATTGGTAACTGCGTTACTATACCGCTCGTTGAACCTGTTGCTAGGTTTAACTTTTCCATGTAGGCGGTGTCAAGGATTTCTGATATCGTCAAGGACCCCCTCGAAGGTCCTGATTAATCAGAAATTCCTGGAATTATTATTTGAGCAAATGCTTGGGCTACTGACGCCCTCTTTTGTGTTTTCCTCTTAAATTTGGGCGCCACTCTCCTTTATTCTTTAACATTAAATAGTCTCAACTTCATATGCCATGGCACAAATTCTCTTATGTATTTTCACCTTAAATGGGGGAAAAAATAAGGGGGACTTCAGCATTGGGATGTTAAGTTGGCTTCTGTTATTGTAAAAGAATAATAGAGAACCATACCCAAATACGACTCTGATATTCCCTATACAAATCACATTTCATTCAAAGCCGAATTAACATGCCATGAATCCTCGCCTGAATCCTCGTATGTGTTTCCCCCTTAAGGCTCCAAAGACTCATTTTTAATTAAAAAAAAATAATTTTTTATTTATTTTTTTAATAAAATATTTTTATATTTTTATATCCGCCTTTTTCATGATAGATATATTTGGTAGTATAAACGCCTCTGTTATGGCTACAAACGCTATGCCCCAATTGCTAAAAAAAATATATTTTTAATAATTTCTAACTACTTTTAATGTCCTCTTCAAAAAATCTTCGACTTTCTTTAATATTCCCTTATAATTTCCCCCAATATCATTGTATGTGTTCACTAAAATGAACTAAAAGAACCAGTTACCACTGAACCCTTTACTCATTTCATTTGAATGCCACAACCACAATCAGCTGATTTGCCTTTCTTCCATTTCGTTTTCTATACACACAATTATCTAGCCATTGTATCTCGCCCATTCATTCGTAAACAATAGAAATTCTTGAAGATTTTGTTTTGAATTTATACTTTATCAGCCATTATCTCGTATGTCCCCCCATTCTTGGCAAAAGTGGAGCGCCGTCAAAACTTTAAGAAGCGGCATTGTAATTAAAAGGAACGGTGGGGTTTTCGATAAAATCGGACGCATGTGAAAAAAAAATTGGAAAAAATCAGAAAATTTGTTGTGTGCGTTGTTAATTTATTACAATTTTATTTAATTTGTTCATTAAATTTGCGAAAATTGAAAGATATATATGTGTAGATTCCTATGTCTAAGGCAAAGGAGTCGAAAAAGAATAAATCGAATACGACAGCAGCAGCAACCACCAACAATAGCAGCAGCAGCACAATGAAACAAAGTGTTAATGGCCAAGAAACGATGGAAACGACGACGACTACGAGGGCCGTAACCAAGAATCCCCTCAAATCGGATGCAACTGATAACAAATTGGAAAAATGTGAAAATGTTATAGAATTTGCCAAAGATGAGGATGAAGATTGCGACGACAACGACGACGATGAGGAGGAGGATGATGATGATGACGATGAAGGTAGTGATCAATTTCATTCAGCCCCCACCACACCTACCAAATCCTCAAATAGTTCGTTAAAGGATTTTTGCAATCAACAACAGCAATCGCAACCAAAATCGACCCAGGAAAAAGAACCTACCAATAAGTCCAGTTCCAGTGAAGGTTTGCCCCTGCATAAATGCATATTCCAAAATGACATCGCAGCATTGCGAAAACTTTTGGAAAGTAAAAAAGAAAACCTTTCACTGAAAGATAAACATGGTAATACCCCATTGCATTTGGCCGTTATGCTCGGCCGCAAGGAATGCATTAAATTGCTATTGGATCACAATGCCACAGTGAAAATAAAAAATAACGAAGGTTGGACAGTACTGGCAGAGGCAATTTCTTACGGAGATCGCGATACAATCGGTTTGCTGTTGAAGAAGTTACGACAACAATCCCGTGCCCACTTGGAATCACGACGTTCGTCGATGATAAAGGGCCTTAAGCAAATCCAGGATTTCTATATGGAATTGAAATGGGATTTTACATCATGGGTGCCGTTGGTGTCACGCATGCTACCCTCCGATGTGTGTCGCATACACAAATGTGGCACCTCGCTGCGCCTCGACACCACTTTGGTCGACTTCAATGATATGCGTTGGGAGCGAGGTGATATTTCGTTCATATTTCGTGGTGACCATCCCATGAATCATTCCATTACGGTGCTCGACAATGAATATCAATGTTATCAGCACATCCACTATGAGGATTCCGATATCGATGATGAGGTGGATATTTTAATGTCTAGTGACATTTTGGCAGCCCACATGTCCACAAAGAGTATACAATTTGCTCGAGCCCAGACGGGCTGGATATTTCGTGAGGATCGCAAAGAAATGGTTGGGGGGCAATACCAATCGGAGCTATATTCTGTACAGGGTTTGGTGTTAAAGCAACGTAAACGTCGTGAACATTTGACCCAGGATGATATACAAAAAAACAAAACCATGTTGGCCACCATGTCCCAGGGCGGTGGAGGGGGACGTCGTTCTAGTCTTACGAACAGCAATAGCAATTCAACCGATGCCAGTTCCACCACCACCACGTCCACCACCAATGGCTCCGCAAATCACCAAACCATTGAGGTGGTACGCCGCTCCTCCCTACCACCCCCACCAAAACCCTCCATATCTTGGGAACAATATATAAATGCCGAGACCGGTAAATGTCCCCAACTGGGACGACCACCCGTCCATAAACAATCGAATAAATCGCTGAAAGCCACTGTTGCCATGTCCAAAGATTTTCCCCTGTCCGTGGAAATGTTGCTGAATATTTTGGAGGTCATTGCGCCGTTTAAACACATCAACAAGCTGCGAGAATTTGTCAATTTGAAGTTGCCACCCGGTTTTCCCGTGAAGGTGGAGATACCGGTGTTGCACACCGTCACCGCCAAGATAACATTTCAGAAATTTGAATTTCGTGATAACATCTCGCCGTCACTTTTCGAAATTCCCAAAAATTATGTTGAGGATACAAGGCGTTTTCCCGATTTATGACCTAATGGTGAGGGACAAGCGCAATCACAACCACAGCAACAACAAGGGCAGCAGCAACAGTCATCAGGTCAGACTCACAATTCTGCTGGAAATGTGGTGGCCGATGTTAATCGTAATAAAAATTAACGATTTTTCAAAAGACAATCTACAACAAGCCGAGTGGGAAAATTAATTTACACAAAAACAACAACAATAATAATCCTTTTATTTTGTAAAAAAGAAGAAGAAAAAACCCAAACAGGGATTTTTTCGCAAAAAATATCAACAACAACATGTAAGTACTATAATGACCACCTTTTTTAACCAACTTTTTCTTTTGGGCCTTATGTGACGTTAAAGGTTTATCCCCCTCAATTCTACAAAAACAATGGTTATTTATCAATAACTTTTTTATTGTTTGTCAGTTATTAGCCAGACCCCTTATCTTTATTATCAGCCTTTGCTTTTTGATTTTTTTGTTTATTCTTATCACTTGGCCAATTATTCATCCTTATTTATGAAGAATTGTTTTATTTTATTATTTATTTAATATGCATACATTTTGTTGGTTTTCGAAGGGGCGGTGCACAAAATTTTTAGGGTACCCTATTTTCTTTGATTTTTAGGGTACCCTATTTTGCCATTTTGGTAATGGTAATCCAGACTTTGTGGGTCCTTATGGGACCTGGAACAAATATTTTTTATGATATTGAGCCCTATAAAATTTTGAAAAAAAAAAATATTTTCTTTATGGATTCCGAGCCTTATGAGACCTTGACAAAATATCTTTTTAATAAATCCCTTCTTGTAGAACATTAGAACAATATCCTTTAAGGATTTCGCGTCTTATGGCACCCTACAAAAATGTTCTTTGAGAATTCTGAGCCCTATGAAACCTTATGGGATCTTGAAAAAATATTCATTACGAATTTGGGCCCTATGAGGCCTTGAAAAAAATATTCGTTAACACAATCACTTCTTGGGGATCATTGAAAAAAAATATTCTTTGAGGATTTCGGGACTTATGGGACCCTTCTGAACTTAAAAAAAAAATCTTTTATGATTCCGAACCTTTTGGGAACTTAAATTTATGAATTTGGGACCTAAAAAATATTCTTTGAGGATTCCGAGTTTTATGGAACCTTAAAATAATTTTCTTGGAGGATTCCGAGCACTATGAGACCTTAAAAAATTTGTTTAAAGATTCCGAGCCTGAGGATTCTGGCCTTGAAAAAAAAAATCTTGTATGATTCCGAACCTTTTGGGGTCCTAAACAAATTTCTTTGAGGTTTCCGATCCCTATGAAACCTTTAAATATTTTTTTTTAAGATTCCGAACCTTATAAGTCCTTGGAAACAAAATTCTTTAAGGATTCCAAGACTTATGAGACCTTGAAAAAAATTGTTTATGGATTCCGAGACGTATGTGTCCATTAAGGGCCCTTTAATATTTAGACATTTCGACCTTGGAAAAATACATTTTTTAATGATACCAAACCCCTTTGAAAGAAATCATTAAGTTCTTCGAACCTTATGGGATCTTGAAGAAAAATTCTTTAAAGATTTCGAACCTAGAAACATATTCTTTGTGGATTCAAAGCCATTTGGGTCCTTGAAAACAAATTTTGGAAAATTCCAAGGATTATGACACCATGAAAAAAATTTCTTTAAGCATTCGAAGACTTATGGGATCTTGAAAAAATTTTCTTTAAGGATTCCAAACCCTGTGAGACCTTAACAAATTTTTCTTTAAGACTTTCTAGCCTTATGGCACAATGAAAAAATATTCTTTAATGATTCCAAATTTTATTCTTCTTCTTCTTAGCTGGCTTGTGACAGAACTCATCTACTTGCGTAAGTACCCATGCTTCAGATCCATATAACAGCACGGGTAGTATCAGCGTCTTGTAAAGTGTGAATTTGGTCTGGCGGTTTGAGTTGTTTCCTCAGGCCATAGTAGCATCGATTGGCCATCACTATCCTTATCCGAATTTCAAAACTGATGTCATTCGTTTTATTTATGGCGGTACCAAGGTATATAAAATCTTTGACTACCTCTAAGCTGAAATTCTCGAGTTCTACAATTGGTCCGAGTCTACTGGACGTCTTGCGCGTTGATTCCATCAGCTTGGTCTTCTCGCCTTTTTAATGTCAGACCCACTTTGGCAGACTCCTTCTCAATTTGTTCAAAGGTGACTGTTACCGCTCTCAATGTTCGACCCATTATATCGATGTCATCGGCGTAGGCGAGTAACATGTGTTGTTTGGTGTACAGAGTGCCATTTCTGTTCACTTTTGCCTCTCGTATGACCTTTTCCAGCAGGATGTTAAAAAGGTCACACGACAAACTGTCATCTTGTCTAAATCCTCGTTCGGTATTGAAGGGCCCCGAGAGGTGCTTTCCGACTTTAACTGCTGACCTTGTGCCTGTTAAAGTTATCCTGCATAGCCGAATTAATTTTGCAGGAATGGTTTTAAACACCTCTGAACGGATAGGGCTGTCGAATGCGGCTTTATAGTCGACGAATAGTTGGTATGTGTTGATGTGTTTTTCGTGTGTCTTTTCCAGGATTTAGCGCCGATTGAAAATCTGGTCAATGGTGGATTTGTCAGGTCTGAAGCCGCATTGGTATGGTCCAATAATGTCATTGAACATTGGCTTCTGTCGTTCACACAGTACGCTGGATAGCACTTTATATGCGATGGGAAGGAGACTTATTGCTCTATAGTTGACACATATCGTCTTGTCTCCTTTTTTTGTGCACGGGACATAGGATGCTAAGGTTCCAATCTTTGGGCATGCATTTGATTTGATCATTGCTACTATTTGATGCCAGAAGTTCAAAATCTTATGGGTCCTGTAAAAATATTGTTTAAATAATCGACGATTTGAAAAAATTGGATTTGAAGCCTTCTGTCTATTATATTTTAAAGATTCCGAGCCTTGTTGCACCATGTTTAAAGATTTATGTGATTTTCAAGGTCACTTTAAGGATCTTTAAGGATTACGAGCATTATGGCACCACGAACATTTTTTAAAGATTTCAAACCTGAAAAAAATATTCATTAAGTATTCCGAAGCATTCGAAGCCTTTTGAAGTCGTGAAAAAAAATTTAAGGATTTTCTTTAAGGATTGGAACTTTGAAAAATATTTTAGCTTTTTAAAAAATATGGAGCCTCCAAAAAAATATTCTTTAAGGATTTCGAACCCTAAGGGAATTTACAAAATATTATGCAAGATTCCGAACCCTATGGGACCTTTAATTTTTTTAATTATTTCTTATTTTTATTAAAGTTTTTTGTTATTTTATTAATTTGTATCCATTCTTTTATTTCTTTACAGTAACAAAAACAACAACCCCATGGAAAACCGAAAAAAAAACAATTGAGGCATTTCTTTCGTAAATAGTTTGTATTTGATAAAAAAAAACAAAAAAACAACAACAATTAAATGTAACGTATCATCATCCTGCATCTCAAAACTGATCTTGATTTTTTCAAAAAAAAAAATACATTATAATAACACCTTCACCTTTACATACTCCTCGAACACAAATTAAAAACAAAAAACTAAGAATAGCAGGCATGAAAAGTTTCAAAATTTTTTTTAATTGTAAAAAAATGTATTTATTTAATTATATATATATATATATATATATATATATTTAAATAAGGTGTATGTGATAATTGTTCAGAAAAAAATTATGTTTGTTTCTAATATTTTTTTATAATTTTTTATTTACATTTTTTATTTTATTCCCTAAAAATACAACTTAAATATTGTTAACTTAATTTTTTTATATAATATTTGTTATATATTTTATTTATTTATTTTTTATTTTTTTGTATTGGGAATATTCATTTTAAATTTATTTTTCTCATTATGACCCATAAAAATGTATAACCTCAAAAAACAATCTCTGTTTTTAAGGACCTTATTGTTACTTTTTTTAATTTACATTTTAAATTTGTTCTTTCTTAACTTTGAAACTTTTCATAAGCTGTTATTATCAATTGCCTTTTCACAACAAATTTAATTTTCACTGAAATCAAAAAAATTTTCCTTAATTCACTTCTACACACATCATAAATATCACGACGCATCTCTTCACATTCAAAACTACATTATCACTATACTTACATACATATTTATTATCGATTAAATTATTACTATATATTTAATCTTAAGTAAGTTTCTCTATATACTATTTATATCTTCTATTTAAGTCACAAAATATTTTATTCCTACATATTTTTTTTGCTCTTTAGTTTTTTAAGTATTAAGAAATCTTATTTATCCTATATAAAAAAACTATTATTTATTAAGAAAATATTTTAACACAAAATAATTGATTCTGTTCGACTATTCGAACAAGAAAGACTCAAAAATTATTTAGGGAGATCTCGAGTTGATGGTAAAACTGTTGGCAAAATCAAAAGGTCTGCAAGACTGGAAAATAAAGAACCTGTAGGTCAGTAAATCGATCTTTCACGGACGACAGTTAAACCAAGTCAAAAATGTTGCAGGACTGGAAAATAATAAAACCTGTAGGTCAACTAATCAATCTTTCCGGGCGACTTTTGGCGGACGACAGTGAAAAGGCTGAAAGCCTTGGCAAACCATGTGCAGGGTTTTTTTTCGCTGGCCAATCGGTCGAAAATTTTCCAGGTTCTCCTCTTGTTGAATTTAGCAAGACATTTTCTGTTAATGGGGCGTTTGTGGATGACGCTACTCGTTAAAGCGAGGGTGGATTCCTACGCGCCGGTAGGAAGATGGCAAAATCTAACGTAGCCAGACACAACTTTCCACTTAAAAAAACTCTTCCTACTTTAAAAAAAAATTTTCTTGGCAACTATATTTCATATTTTTCTTAGGACCAACCAAAAGGCAGGATTTTTTTAAAGAATATTTTTCCCAAGCTCCCAAGGATCCGCAAAAGCGTACATCATTTAAAGAATAGGCATGGATTATTTATTAGGGCTCCAAAAGGCCTATATTATTAAAAAAAATTTCAATTCTCACCAAGGACTGGTTTATTTAAAGAATATGTTTAAGTCAGAAATCCTTGAAGTATTTCGGCTCCACAAGACCTGGATTATATAATGAATATTTTTTCAAGGCTACACAAGCCCTTGATTATTTAGAGAATATTTTTTTAATTACCCACAAGGTCTGGATTGTTTTAAGATTTTTTTTTTGAAGAACCCAACAAAGGCTACACAAGGCCTGAATTTTTTAGAGAATATTTTTTCAATAACCCACAATGTCTTTTTTTAGGTTTCCGTAGTTCTCGGAAACCTTTAAAAATATTTTTTAAAGGCGTCGATTATATACAGAATATTTGTTGAAGGTCCCAAAGGGTTCGGAATCATAAAGAATATTTCTTCATGGTCTCGTTCCTATGAAAATTCTTAATTCGCGGTCCCAAAAGTCTCGAAATCCTTAAAGAATATTTGTTTAATGTCCCTTAGGGTTCGGAATATTTAAGGAATACTTTTTTCCAGGTTCCATAGGGTTCATAATCATTAAAGAATATTTTTTCAAGGTCCCATTGGGTTTAGAATCTTTTGAGAATATATTTTCAGGGTGCCATATGGTTCGAAATCCTTAAATAATATTTTTTAAGGGCCCACCATGAAGACCCACATGGTCTTCATGGTCTCGTTCCTATGAAAATTCCTAGATCGTAGTCCCAAAAGTCTCGAAATCCTTAAAGAATATTTGTTTAATAATATTTAAGGAATTTTTTAAGGGTTCATAATCATTAAAGACTACAAGGTCTCATTGGGTTCAGAAGATTATGTAAATAAAAATGTTTTTAAAGCTCCACAAGCGTTGGATTATTTAAAGACAATTTATTCAATGTCCCATAGGGCTCCGAAAAGCTCGGAATCCTGTCAGAATATTTTTTGCAGTCCCATAGGGTTTGGAATACTTAAAGAATATTTTTTCAAGGTTCCATAGGGTATGGAACCCTTAAGCAATGTTTCCATAAGACTTGGAATCCTTAAAAAAGATTTTCTTAAGGTCCCATTGGGCTCGGTAATATCAAAAGAAAATGTTTATGGGCGGCCATAAAGCTCTTCTAATACACGATCAAACAATATTTTAATAGATGGTCGGATCAACCATAAATGCAAGTTTATTTACGATATCTGATATCCGAGTCCTTGGTTAAAAATTGTTTGATTCGCAGCTACCCATTTTCACTATCGGCAACCAAAACTATTTTTTAGAGTGGAGGGTTTGTTAATAATTTTCAGGTTCCATAAAAGTGGAAATTATATTTAAAAACATTTTAGGTCCCAAACATAATCAAGCCTTTCTGCACCTTCTTCAAAGTCCGTCCGAAAATGTTCTTCTTCAAAAAAAACTTCTGTTATGTATTTCTGGTCCAAGTCCACTAAAGGATCGTTTAGAAGTTCCGTAATATCTTTCGAACCAATAACTTATTTCCTGAAAAAGTTCTTCTTCATTTTTCTTCTTCTGATTTTTCTCAAAGCCATCGATTAGCAGTGTGACTCTGCAAAACCTTTTAATTTAAAAAAAAAAAATAAAAAATAAAATCTGTCCATTCGATAACCTATTTTAACAAAATATACAATAATTTATAAAAAAAATACAGTGTTAAAAATATAGAAAAAATATTTTTATTGTGTAGTCATTTATTTGCTGTTAAAACAAAACAAAAAAACTCCTATTGTTTGCAAAAAAATTATATTTATTAATTCTTTACCGCAACAACAAAATAAAAATTACACTATGTACAAGAAAATTGTGTCTACATAAATATATAAAAATATTATATAGTGTTTATTTATTATTTAAAAAAAATCTAAAAAAAAATTATACAACTGCTGCCTAAATATGTATTTATATAATTTATATTGAGTACTTAAAAAAAGAATGAAATCCAAATCCTAACATTGTTGGGTGGAGGTGGAGGCCTTTGGAATATTTATATATTAATAATATTTTATAATATTAATAATATTTAAATACAATTTTCCTGGCTCCTGGTGGATACTTGAAAAAATAGTCTGAGAAAATTGTTTCTAGCCTACTCAAGGCATGAATTATTTAAAGAAAATATTTTTCAAGGATTAGATTTTATTATTTAATAAATATTTTTTCGAGTCTCCATTAAGGCGTGAATTAATTAACAAATATTTTTCAACGTTCCACAAGTCCTAGATTATTTATATAATTTTATTTTCAATGTGGCATAGTGTTCGGAATATTTAAAGAATATTTTTCCAAGGGTTCCGAATCCTAAATTGAATATTTTTCCACTGTACCATGGGGTTTTGAAGAATAGGTTTCGAAATCTTTAAGGAATATTTTTTACAAATTCCCATTGGATTCCAAAATTCTTAAAGAAAATTTCTTTCAAGGTCCCATAGTGCACGGAATTCTTAAAGAATATTTTTTAAGCTCACATAGGGTTCATAATTCTCAAAGAAGTTTTTTTTTAAGGTCCCACTTTTTTCAAGGTTCCTAGGAATCGGAATCCTTAAAATATATTTTTTCAAGTCCCATAGGGTTCGAAATCTTGAAGGAATATATATTTTTTTCAAATTTTCATAGTGTTCGAAATTTTTAAAGAAAACTTTTTCAATGTCCCATAGTACATGGAATTCTTAAAGACTATTTCTTTAACTCCCATGGAGTTCGGAATCCTTAAAGAATATTTTTTAAAGGTCACATAGGGTTCGCAAGAAATAAAGGCTTTCTTGTAGAAGACCACAATGCGTTCTCATTCTTTTTTATTAATATTTAATTCAGTATCGTTTTCTGAAGTTTTCTTTTTAATTCAAGGTATCTTGACCACCACACCCCACCTTCCATCCCCTAATTAATATTTATTAAATATAAAATTTTGCATTATATTTTCTTAACAGTATAGGAAAGATATTTTATTGCCAGTCTTTTTTATTTTTTTTTTTTTTTTGTAATTACAATTATTATTATTATTACTTTTATTAATTACAATTATTATTATTACTTTTATTAATTATTATAATTAATTGTAATATTTTTTATTTAATAGTTATAATTATGTACATGTAATTTATTTTTATTTATTATATATGTTTTTTTCATACTTAAGTTTTTTTTCCTCTAATTTTTTCTATTATGCTGTGATTTCAAATTTGATTTTCGTTTGATTTTGTGTTTGCAAAACATTTCAAAAGCACTTTTATATTAAGACAACATATAAAACAAAATAAAAAACATTTAAACAATTATACATTATTATTACATACATACAAACATATTTTATCCTACACATATTAAACTGCTGCCATAAAACAAAAAAAAAACTAAAACATATTTAAAACTTATTTATATCACAACAAACAAAAAATGTTATCATTATTATTATTAACTAATTGAAAATATATATTAAAAATTCTAGCAGATTTTTATTATTATTTTTTATTTCTTTTTCGTTTTTTTTTTAATTATTTAAGGTTTTTTCTGTAGCTTAATTTTTATTATTAAGAAAAAAAATCATAAAAACATAAAATCAATTATTTAATCAAAGAAACAAATGAAAAAAACAAATTATATCAAATGTTTTAAATGTTTTAAATGTTTAGCAATTAAATAAATAAAAATACAAAAACAACAACCAAAAAATCCCCCCAATGTACCACATCCACAACATACATTCAAAAACAAAATGCTTGTATTAAAACCAATGAAAAAATAAATAAAAAGTATATATGTTTTCACCAAAAAAAGATCGGAACCGGTGTTTTATTTTATAGGCCCAAAATTTTTTAGATGACCAAAATTGTTTTTTCAGCATGTATTTTATTAAAAGACTAAAATGGTTTTCATATTAAAATTCAAAAAGTCATTTTATAGAAGACCTCAAAGATCGATTACCCTCTACAGGGACAAATAGCACAAAAAAAAATATTTAATTAAAACCCTACATAAAATGGGGCGAAAATTGTTAAAATATAAGATCCCCATAAAAATCCCTGCCGAAAATATCACATTTTGAATATTCTGTATTCATTTAAAAAAAACAACCCCCCTCACAAAACTACCCATTGTGCCATTGAAGCATTGCCAAAATTTGCAACCCTGTTACTAAAGGTGAACCTTAAAATAAAACGTATAACCAATAAAACTACAATTACAACATTTCTCCTTAATAAAACCACAACAAATAATTTGCTCCCTCCCTTATAACTCATTATTTATCTCTATTCCTTTTTCTTACCCATCTAAAACAACAACAAAACATTTACAAAAATTGCAACAATTTGTCAAACATCTGTACGCCATCATTTAAGGCGGATGGTAAACAAACCCCATGCATGGCATGTGCATACACGCACACACACACGCATATTTTGACGTCTGGCTGGCTGGTTGGTTGTTTTTTTTTCGCAGACACTTTTTTACGCAATCAAGAAGCAAACCGACCAACCAATTGATCCGTCAAATGAACCAACGGCAGGCAAAACAAACAAATCCCAAATAATAAATAATAGAAATATAACATAAATAAATTAATAATACCAATAAAAGAAGCTAAGGCGGCGTCGAATTGTGTCATAATTTGTTGTAATTAAAACATTGGCAAAAAAATCGTTAAATTTACTATGGCTCAGTATGGAAATTTTGGACCATTGATTGGTGTCATCTATCTAAGCAATACACATTGTAAATTTATGGTAAATATAAATATATCTATTTAGAATAAAAATAAACATGATGCTGCAGTGGTAGCATATAGAGATTTTATTTTGGAAATAGAGTACCTTGGCCTCATAGATTAGTCATTTATTAATTTTTTTTGCTAGATTTTCTCAACCAAAAATGCCGAAGTATTGACTTTTCATGAATTGAAACTCAAGCAAATTGTACACAATGCCGGTTGGCTGGAATATGATCCCAATGAAATATGGAAATATACCCAGGAATGTATTGAGGTGAGTTATTGCAAAATTTAATCAGCAAATGGATGGGGATATTAATTGTCTTTATTTTGTTGTTTTCAATCTATTATAGGTTGCCTACAAAAATCTGGTCATATTGGAGATCAGTCCGCATGACATCATCGCAGTGGGTATTTGTAATATGCGAGGCACCACAGTCATGTGGGACAAAGAAACTGGAAATGCTCTACACAATGCCATTGGTAAGTACTGTGTATATTTTTATATATCGCAGTGGGGTATCTCATCGAAGTATTTAAAAATCTTCTCATGTCACCCACAAGTTTTTATAAAAAATTATTAATATCAGTTCACTTTTACGTATAGCGCTCATATAAAAAATGCCTCCGGATTTCGATTTAAACCGAATTGGTTGTAATTTGATATTTAGAGTTCTCCCTAGGTGGGAAATCATTTCACCAAAAATGATCAATATTGTTCCACTTTTGGATATAGCCCCCATAAAAAGGTAGTTTAAAATTTCGGCATTTTGAGTATTTTCAACGCGTTTTTCAAGCGAATTGGTTGTAGTTTAATATTTGGGATTCTCTTTAGGTTGAAGATCGTCTTACAAAAAATTAACTAAATCGGTCAACGTTTTGGTATAGCATCCCTATAAATATGCCTCCGATTTTCGTCTTACCAAAAATTAACTAAATCGGTCAACGATTTGGTATAGCACCCCCATAAAGATGCCTCCGATTTTCGATTTTTGGGGATTTTGGACAGGTTTTTTCAAGCGAATTCCTTATAATTTTATATTTTGGTTTCTCACTAGGTTGGAAATCATTATGTCAAAAATTAACAATATCGGTCCACATTTAGGTATAGCCCCCACTTTAAAGTTCCCCTCGATGTTTGCTATTTTGAAGGTTTCACCCGCAAATTTAAAATGTAGGACCATGTTATGATATACACAGTTCCATACCTAACGATTTCTCAATGTTTTGAACTTTGAAATTTTTTAATTGTTTCAAAAATATTTTATTTTAATCTCAAAATTAATTTCATTCATCCCGAACTTCTATGTGTATTTGTTATGATGTTATCATCACTTGTTTTTGTTTATTTATGTTTTGATGTTGTCATGCTTTCAATGTTGTTCTTTTTTTCTGCTTTAAGGTTGGACGGATTGCCGCTGTACTTCGCTGCTGAAGACATTGCTCAACAATGTTAAACAAAATGTTGATTATTTGAGGCCGCTGAGTGGCCTGCCATTGAGCACGTGTTTTAGTGCTTTGAAAATTAAATGGTTACTTGAAAATGTAACGGCTGTGAAAGAGGCTTTAGCTAGTGATACATTATGTTTTGGGACCTTGGATTCGTGGATAATGTGGGTGAGTAAAGAAATCAATTAAAAAAAAATAAATAAATAAAAAAAAAATTAATCAATTTATTATTCAATTTTATTTTAATTGCAGAATCTTACCGGTTCCGAAACCTGCGGTGTGCACTCAACTGATGTAACAAATGCACAATATACTGGCCTTATGAATATACACACCATGCAATGGGATGAAAAACTATGTAATTTTTATCGAATACCAATGCAAATACTGCCAAAAATACGTTCCAATTCGGAGATTTATGGTTATATTATAGAAGGACCCCTTAACAATACACCAATTGCCGGTGTGAGTAATGACAACAACAACAAAAATATATTCAACATTTTTATAACTAAAAACTTTCCTCCTTTTTCTTTTTTCTCTTTAGGTTATTGGTGATCAACCGGCAGCATTATTGGGTCAACTTTCGCTGAATGTTGGTCAAAATGTTTGTAACATAGACGACAGCTGTTTTGTTCTATTAAATACGGGTGAAGAATTAATTGAGTCGGAAAACGGGCTGCTCTCAATTGTCTCATATAAATTGGGTCCCAAAGCCAAAGCATGCCATGCTTTGGAGGGTGCCATTAGTAATGCCGGTTCTACGGTACAATGGCTTAAGGAGGGCCTACGCATAAATACCGAAATTAATTCCAATGATAATGTCGTTGAGGTATTGAATACATTTTTGGGTGAATCATCTATGATCTCATCATCGTGTTCCTCGAGCATCTTAAATGCTGAATGTGGTGTGGCGGCACGTCGTTCGGAAATAACATTTGTACCTGCTTTTCATGGACTATATGCACCCTATTGGAGATATGATGCCAGGGGGTAAGTGTGAAATGTGAAATTTTAAGATTTTTATAAAATATATTAAAAGGACCACAAATAAGGCGTGGATTTAAAAGAAATATATAAAAATCTCTCCGATTTGTTGATGATTTTAGAGCCTTTTTTCAAACGAATTGACTGTAATTTGATATTTTTTGGTGTGTTATTAGGTGAGAAAACTTCCTACCAAAAATTATAAAAATTGATCCACATTTAAGTATAGCCCCCATATAAGGGTACCTTCCAATTTCGGCATTTTCAAGAATTTCGGCACGTTTTTCAACCGAATTGGTTGTAATTTGATATTTAGGGCTCTCCCTAGGTGGGAAATCATTTCACCAAAAATGGTATAGCCCCCATATAAATATTGGTTAAAATTTCGTCATTTTTAGGATTTTCACCACGTTTTTCAAGCGAACTGACTGTAAATTGATATTTAGGATTCTCATTAGGTGGAAAAAAATCCTTACAAAAAATTATCAATATCGGTCCACATTTAGGTATATCCCCCATATAAAGATTCTTCCGGTTTCGATTTTTTCCACATTTTCAAAACTCTTTTCAAACGAATTGATTGTAATTTGATATTTGGGGTTCTCACTAGATGCAAAATTGTTTTTCCCAAAAATTATCCATATTGGTCCATTTTTGGGTATAGCCCCTATATAAATGTACTTGCAAATTTCGGTATTTTGAGCATTTTCGGCACTTTTTTCAACCGAATTGGCTGTAATTTGATATTTGGGGTTCTCTTTAGGTTTAAGATCGTCTTACAAAAAATTATCTAAATCGGTTCACATTTAAATATAGCACCCATATAAAGATACCTTCAATTATCGATATTTTTAGGATTTTCAACACGTTTTTCAAGCGAATTGTTTATAATTCGATATTTGGGGTTCTCTTTGGGTTGAAGATCACCTTACCAAAAATTATCTAAATCGGTCAACGTTTGGGTATAGCACCCCCATATAAATATGCCTCCGATTTTGAATTTTTGGGAATTTTGGATACGTTTTTTCTCGCGAATTGGTTGTAATTTTAGATTTTGGTTTCTCACTAGATTGGAAATCATCATGCCAAAAATTATCAATATTGGTCCACATTTAGGTATAGCCCCCACATAAAAGTTCCCTCCGATTTTTGCTATTTTGAAGTTTTTGTCTGCAAATTTAAAATATAGGACCATATTATGACATGTATAGCTTCCACATAATCATACCCAACAATTTTCGATTATTTGAACTTTGTTAATTGTTTTAAAAATATTGCATTTTAATCTCAAAATTAATTTCAAGGCGTGGATTTTTTAAAAAAATATTTTTAAGGATTTTATTTTTTTTACTATTAAACATAACCTATTTTTAATTGTTTTGCTATTAATGTTAACCTCATTTTTTTATTTATTTTTACTTTTAAACATAACCTCATTTTTTCAATTTTCTCTCCCCTAGCATTATTCTCGGTTTGACCAGTCAAACAACAGCCGAAAATGTCACTCAGGCCGCCTATGAAGCTACCGGTTTTCAAATTCATGAAGTATTAGAGGCATTCAAACGTGATACCGCTGCCAATTGGAATTGGAAGGACATAAAGGAGCGTTTAATATTCGGTGGCGATTATGCCGAGAATACTTCGTTTGTACAGTTTATTGCCGATATTGTGGGTTTTGTTTTGGAACGACCACAAACCACAGCGCCATGTGCATTGGGTGCCATGATTGCAGCCGGCATCACTATGAAAGTTGTGGATAAAAACTATGCACAAATTGCCTATATGCCACCGGCCGATGCCATAAGTCCAACCACAACACCAAATCGTAAGTTTCATTTTCTGAGGAAAATTTTGGTATACGTAGTTAATTATGGTTTTCTCCTTTTCCTTTTTAAGGACGGGCATTATTATACAAACGCTGGGAATATGCTGTGAAGAAATGCCTCAGCTGGAATAACTATGAAACCTTTGAGGAGGACATTGCCTTGTTTGCCCAACGTGAACGTGATACAAATCTGCCCATACGTCGCTCCCTGCCCGGTAGTATATTTTTGACCAGTGCATTTGTATTCCTAATCGTAGCCAAGTTTCTAAATCAAAAATAATAATTTATCTTCAACTCAAGATATATGTTAGATAATGTGTATAGATAACAACAACAAATTGTGTTAAATAATTTTTTAAGTTTTCTTTTTTTAAATTTAGTTTTTAATTTTTAACCAAAAAAATGCGTACAAAATGTTAGTTTTTTTATTGTAATAACAACAACAAGAACAAATGAATGTGAAATGCAAACTTGATTATTTTTTAACTAATTTATTTTTAAGTTTTATTTTTTAAGTTCAAATATTATTAATATTATTAATTATATAGTAGTTATAAAATCTAGTCATATATTTTAAAACTGTAAACTATATAGGAATATTTTGTAAATTATTTAAATATTATATAACTATTTTAATGGCATTTGTTAGAACTCCGCAAAACAAGAACAAATGAAAACAAAACTAGGTTCCTTTTTTCTTTATTGTTGTTAGTCTGCTAATTTTTTAAGTAATTTTACTAGTTTGAATTAATTAATTTATTTGCTTTGATTTGTTTTCTCTCATCTTTTTTTATTATATTTAACAAAATTCCATTTAAATATTTAAGCATAGAAAAAAAAAACGAAAAGACAATTGGTAAAATATTTAATTACTTATATGCATATATATACAATTACAAAAAAAACAATAACTTATTTTAAATTATTCCAATTAATATCGAATTGTACTAAAGTAATAAAATACGATAAGCCAGTGGCTGCAGTTAGAAATGTTAAATGTCGATCCAAATAAAATAAGCCGCATATGCGAAAACGACCATCAAATGTTATTAATGCGAGGGAGAGATTTTCGAGCTGGAAGAAATTTTAATAAAAAAGAAAAGAAATACAAAATATTTTAAGGACCTACGGAAGGCGAGAATTTTTTCAGAAATTATTTTTAAGGACGGTGTGGATTTTTTAAAAAATATTTTCAAGAATGTACACAAGGCGTGGATTTAAAAAAAATATTTTTTAAGGACGTGCAGACCTCCTTAAGGATATACACAATGCGTGGATTTTTTAAAAAATATTTTGAAGGACCTACAGATCTACTTAAGAATGTACAAGGACCCACAGACCTACTTAAAGATGTGCACAAGGCGTGGATTTAAAAAAAAAAAAATATTTTTAAGGACCTACTTAAGAATGTACAAGGGCCCACAGACCTCCTTAAGGATGTACACAAGACGTGAATTTAAAAAAAATATATATTTTTATGGACCTACAGACTTACTTAAGGATGTACACAAGACGTGTATTTTTTAAAAAATATTTTTAAGGACCTACAGACCACCTTAAGGATGTACACAAGGCGTGGATTTAAAAAAAATATATTTTTTAATGACCTACAGACCTACTTAAGGATGTACACAAGGCGTAGATATTTTAAAAAAATATTTTTAAGGACCTACAGACCTACTTAAGAATGTACACAAGGCGTGGATTTAAAAAAAAAATATATATATATTTTTAAGGACCTACAGATCTGATTAAGGATGTACACAAGGCGTGGATTTTTTAAAAAATATTTTTAAGGACCTGCTACAGACCTACTTAAGGGTTGATTTTTTTTAAAAATATTTGTAAGGACCCACAGACCTACTTAAGGCTGTACACAAGGCGTGGATTTTTTAAAAAATATTTTTAAGGACCTACAGACCTCCTTAAGGATGTACACAAGGCGTGGATTTAAAAAAAAATATTTTTAAGGACCTACAGACCTACTTAAGAATGTACAAGGACCCACAGACCTCCTTAAGGATGTACAAAAGACGTGAATTTAAAAAAAAATATATATATTTTTATGGACCTATAGACTTACTTAAGGATGTACACAAGACGTGTATTTTTCAAAAAATATTTTTAAGGACCTACAGACCACCTTAAGGATGTACACAAGGCGTGGATTTAAAAAAAATATTTTTTAAGGACCTACAGACCTACTTAAGGATGTACACAAGGCGTAGATTTTTTAAAAAACTATTTTTAAGGACCTACAGACCTACTTAAGAATGTACACAAGGCGTGGATTTTTAAAAAAATATATATTTTTAAGGACCTACAGATCTACTTAAGGATGTACACAAGGCGTGAATTTTTTACAAAATCTTTTTAAGGACCTGCTACAGACCTACTTAAGGGTTGATTTTTTTTTTAAATATTTGTAAGGACCCACAGACCTACTTAAGGCTGTACACAAGGCGTGGATTTTTTAAAAAATATGTTTAAGGACCTACAGACCTCCTTAAGGATGTACACAAGGCGTGGATTTAAAAAAAAAATATTTTTAAGGACCTACAGACCTCCTTAAGGCTGTACACAAGTCGTTGATTTAAAAAATAAATATTTTTAAGGACCTACAGACCTCCTTAAGGATGTACACAAGGCGTTGATTTAAAAAATAAATATTTTTAAGGACCTACGTGGATTTTTTTAAAAAATATATTTTTAAGGGTGTACTCACATGTCGTGAATTTTTCCAACAGTTTTGGAATTATTAAAAAATATTTTTTAAAAAATATTAAACCAAATTGAATACTTACCGTTTCTTCCAAACGCCAATCTAACCCCGGAATTTCGGCAAATTCCTTTAACGTCTTCTTTATCGCCTTCACTTCATTTTCAATCTGATCGCTGATCATGGTCACAATATAGGTGTCAATATAGAATATTATGGCAAAAATAAAATGTAAAAAAATACCCGTCAACGTATTGTATTCACTATGGTGTTTAAAGAGCAAATTAAACAATGTAAATAAATTCGTTAAATTACTTATCAAGGTGGTGAAAATCAAACCCAATATTTGAAATTGATGTAGTCGAATCGAATCCTTATATAAATCATAAATTTGCCAATAACATTTTCCAAACTCCTGTAAACGATCACTCAACACACAGCATAGTTGGCCCAACAACCCTGCCCTTTTTCTACGTCTACAGTAGACAACAAAACTTCGATTCTCCTCCACCATTTGTTGCAACTTCTGATGCAGTTGACGATAGAATTTCAATGCGGAACAATTAATGAAATAAAAATAATCGGCCATATTTTCGGTGTAATTCCACAAAAAGAAAGTGTAAATTTGAAAATACACCCTGACCGGATGGCCACCGAGGAAATATTCATTCAATATCTGTGCGACTTGTACCAACATCATGGCATTAATAAGGCCGAATTTGAATAGCAGCATAAATTCAAAACGTTTGCGTGGCACCTCATCCATTCCGACACTGGAACGATTGAATTCGTCCTCCAGCCATTGGCGATGTTGGGTTATCTGGCGTATATCCTTGTAGTGAACAAAATTGGCAATATAAGTTATCACGACCATACAGTATTTAATCAAGGTATTGGAGAAGTTCACCACCAGCTGCAGCTGCCAACGACGATCTTTGGTCTCCACCAAATCGTGTATAGAGTACACGAAATACAGGGGTAATATCAGAATCACAACAAAACTCACAACGTGACTATAGACAACAGCTAAATAATGCTTAAATGATTTGGTTGGTATTGTTGGAATATAATTGATGACCACCAGGCCATACAAATTGGCATAGACATGGCCGAAAATATAAATTTTATCTTTGTATTTTTCCCAAAAACTTATTTCGCTGGACATTCTTTTCACTGTGGACTGTAAGCTCAACTAAATCAAAGTGAAATTGAAACACAAATTGGATAAAGAAATCCTTAATGTTTCGTGTCGACATGCCCATTGGAAAGGGAGGGGTACCTTACATGTTTCTTATCTCAAGTTCGAGTGCACGCAAAGTTTGGGCACGATTTATGGATAAAAAATAGAGAATATTTTTTCCAAAAAAATATATCTAAATAAAATGGATGCAACGCCATTTATTTCATTTTAAAAAAAAGTGGATTTTTTAAAAAATATTTTGAAGGACCTAAAGACCTACTTAAGGATTTACACAAGGCGTGGATTTAAAAAAATATATTTTTAAGGACATACAGACCTACTTAAGATGTACACAAGTCGTGGATTTGTTAAAAAATATTTTTAAGGATGTACACAAGGCGTGGATTTAAAAAAAAAATATTTTTAAGAACCTCCAATAAGGCGTGTTTTTTTAAACATTTTTATGGATGTGCACAAGGCGTGGATTTTGTAAAAAATATTTTTAAGGACCTAAAGAAGGCTTGGATTAAAAAATACTTTTCAGGACATACAGAAGGCATGGATTTTAAAAATATAGTATATATTTTTAAGGATCTACACAAGGTATGAATTAAAAAAAATTCAATGACCACCAAGACGTGAATTAAAAATATATATTTTTTCAATTCCATTGTAGAGACCCCAAACCACTCCCCCATAAACATCTACGAGCCTATTGATAACATGGCAAAATTCATTTCTTGTTCTTTTTTATCTACTGCGTCATAAGGCTACATAATTCGTATTCCAAATTATTTGGAAATGATTCAATTGTTTATAAATAAAAAACGCACACACACACACACAGAAACACACAGCAATAAATTTTCCTGTTATTTTAGGTACATAATATTAACATAATTTTTATATTCTATTTTATTTCGTTGATTATAAGTTTATCTTTTAAATTACAATTTTAAAAGATATAATCAATTGTCGGGTAAACAATAAAATGTTTTTTGTTATTTTTCGAGAAATAATGTAAGCTTAAGAACAATAGTTATACATCATATAGGAGTATATATCATCAATAAAAAAGACGATTTAAAAAATCTTATATTTAATAAAGAGATTTAGAGAAAATTTTTTTTAGAGAGAGAGAGAGAGAGAGAGAAGGAGGAAATCAATACTAGGTCCATGATTGTAGTTCAAAAAGGTAGCGTATACGAAGCAGAATAAGAAAACTGAAACTTGTGCGCTATTAACAAAAAACTAGGAATATGAACAATAACATTTTTTTGTTGGTTATTGTATTCTCCACGGTCAACATAACATAACCTTGAAATGTATAAGTATGCCATTAGGTGGTTTTGCATTCCCGTCAGCTGGACAACCACCTTGTTCTGAAATTTTCTTTCTTTTTTGCGTAGTATTTTGTGGTGTTTTTGTTAACTTGTTTCTTTTGTATCGTTCCTTAAGATTCACTATATAACAATTAGTACATATTTTATTTTTGACTAGTTTTAGTGTGTGTGGTGTTTTGTTGTGCTCCAATCCATTACAAAAAATGTGCTATTGTCGTCTCTGGTATGGCAATACAAAATCGACAAACGATTTGTAATCATTTAATCCTCATCATCATCGTCGTCTTCGGGTACAAACAGATCATTTTCCTCCAAGAAATTGGCCACCGATTTACTAATGGCTGCACCAATGAATAGTCCAGGCAGCACGGAACACAACACACCCACCATACCGAATGGTGTCTCCTCCGGTTTGGGTTTTAAAGCTCCACTACGAAAATGTGTAGATTGTCTCCTTTGTGTCGTCTCGCTAATGGCTCTACCCAATAGTTGTCTCATAACGGGCGATGAAGATGTCAAAGTTGTAGCTGCGGCTCGTATTTGTGCGATGCGTGTTACTAACATTGTGCTGTCGTTTTATTTTTTTATTACTTCTTTGTGGACTATATAAAATACGAGAAAAACACAGTTATTTATTATATATTTTCGACGATTTTTTTCTAGATTTTACCCCAAATTTCCAAAAATAATGCAAAAATAATAGTGTCAAGTGTAAATATAGGTGACAACTGATTGAATGTTAAATGGCAACTGCAGCCAACTTCACTCGAAAGAACTTTTTGTAGCATCCAATAAAAGCGTTTGAGCGTCGGGCGCCTGAAGACTGCGTTAAAATTGAGGTAAGACGTTAAAATTTCAAATTAAGCGTCAATTTTGGAATTTTTCAGAGATGAAATATTTTTTTTTAATAAATTCTTTTAATGTTTTTAAATTTTATTTCCAATAAATACCTTTTAATTTGCGTTTGTGCGTCAAGCGACTAAAATTAGGGTAAATTAAATGTAAGGGAAAGTCCTAAGGTGTTTAGATTTTTTAAAAAATCCTCTTTTTTAATAAATCTAAGCCTTGAGAATGGCGAAAGTCCTAAGGTGTTTAGATTTTTTAAAAAAATCCTCTTTTTTAATAAATCTAATCTAAATAACCATCTCAAAGGTCTGGGTCACTACCTTTTAAAGTGACCCTCCTAACACTGGGGTGGCATGCGACCTCGTGCCTATCAGCGTTCTACGGTTTGCAGTCAGGGTCCCAGTCAGGGTCCAAGTCCTTGCGATGGTAAGAGGCTATGTCATGGTCGATCTTAATCCCTCACTGTATGTCGAATTGCCAAAGTCGATCCCCAGGGATTTGAGGTTCCGGACGATCTGCGAGTAGTAATTATGGACCGAGCTGACCCTGACGGGATCATCAGCGAGGATAAATGGTTGCTGTCCAACAGCTATCTGAAGGACCTCTTCCTATCCGACGAGGTTAATAAGCAGAGCCTACGGTTTGGCCAGACCTCCTTATACAAAGGGGTCAAGGATGTTAATTGTCGTACTATAAAGATTGCGGACTTCCTTAAGAAGCCAATTAACAACCTGGACCGTCTTTGGGAAGGTAGTAGAGCGGTCTAAGAGATACCAAGCGGTATGGTAACCTCTGTGTTTATCCCACCACCTTTTAAGGGGCTGAAGAACAAACTAAGGTCAGTGGAAAAGCAGAAAAATGACTGCCTTCATGTGAGGAGGTGGATAATCCTGGCCTCATTTGAAAGAAACGGCGGTGTAGTCGCGAAGTTCGCTACCGATTCTTCTCAAGAGCAATATTTGAGAAAGAATAAGGGTGAGCTTCCCACCTCCAAAACAGTAAGCAGACAGCAGCAAGTGCTAATCGTAGTGCAGATTAATCTGCATCACTGCTGAACTGAACTGCTACTCACCCTCTCTTCTTCAAATACTGATATCGCGCTCATCCAGGAGCCTTACCATTATAAAGATAAGGTGACTGTGAACAATGTGACGGCTACTCTTCTAAAGATATGATGCACGGTTTTGACTGCCTCACAAAACCTTGGAGAGAAGGCTGCAAGGAAAGCATGTCAAAAGAGCTTAAAAGCGTACAGATTGGGATGTCTATAAAAGACAATTCAATAGGTACAAGCGCAAAATCAAGAAGGCTAAACGTGAGTCTTGGGTCTGCTATGGTGAGTCAATCGAAGGAGTCAACGAAGCGTCCAGATTTCGCACAGTACTATCCAAAATCTTAAAGGTAGTATTAAACGAAGTGATGGAACGAATACAAACTCTAGCAGAGAGACTCTTTATTTTCTATCGTCAACCCGCTTTCCTGAGTATTGTAAGGACTACCCAAAACTGGTATGGGCGATAAATAGTTCTCAATGTTATAAGACTCCTGGTCCTGCTGCAACACGCAGATGAACGCCTTATGGGGCCTTTAAACATAATTTTTATAAAATCCAAGCCTTGCTGTTTCTTAATTTTTTTTAGTTCTCGTCGTGTTGGTTCTTTGACAAAAATATTTTTTATAAAATCCACGACTTTTGGGTCCTTTGAAAAAATATATCATTTATGAAATCCAAGTCCTTGAAAAAATATTTTTTATAACATTCATGGTCCTATAAAAAGTATTTTTTATTTTATATATTTTGAATACAATACTCTTAACCTTTGTTTGTATATATTCCAAATAAAAACAACATTTCTTTTTTTTTGCCGAAGTGGAATTTTACATATTTTTTATTATTTTTGTTTTTATTTAAAAAAATGTGTGTGTATGGATTTTCAATAGATTTCTTTTGTTTTACATAAATATTTCAAGAGATATTTTTTTAATATATAAGATGTGTGTTTATTTATTTACTGATAAAGATAAATATATGCGCATAAGTATATATATAAAAAAATTGGGGGGAAAACATAAAAATAATAATTCATTGTTTGTATTTTTTTTAATATTTAAAAGATAAAAAATGGAAAGAAACTTGGAGGGGGGATTGTAATAAAAAATTGGTTGTTTGGTTGGATGAACATAAAATTCCAAATCGTTTACTTCTGGGAGCAGTGTGTGTGTGAAGGAGTTGTCCACCTTTTTTAACAGCCTTTTTGTTCCCAGAATGGTTGGTAGTTGGTGGAGGAAATGCCAAAAACAAATTGGTGTTTTTTTTTCATCAAAAATTAAAGCAATATTTCACACATTTTTGTTGTTGTTGTTTTTTATAAAACATTTTCAAGCCAATAGGGTGTTGTTGTTGTAGTTTAGGCTCTTTTGCTTTGTTTTAAAACACTTGTTTTTTTTTTGTTGTATTTTTTCAATAAATTTTTTTGCAAATTTTTTGCGATTTTTTTATTTGGATTTTTCTTGTTTTTTGTTTTATTTTTTCAAAAAATGTATATTTTAACCTTGTATTGGTTGGTTGTTGTTGTGGTTACTTTTTTAAGGTTTTTAATGGCATTTTACGATTTTTTTGTGGATTTTTTCAAAGTTATTTTTTTTGTTTTGTATTGAATTTTTTTTCAATGTTTTCTTGTTTCAAGTAGCAAAAAATCAATCGTTCTTCTTCTTCATCATCTTTTTTTCCTTGTGTTGTTTTTTAGGTTTTTTCTTGTTGTTGTTTTTCAATATTTTTTATGCATTTTCATTTTGTAACTGTTTTCAATTTTTAGTTTTTAATTTTTTCGATTTTTTTGCAATTTTTTTGTTTGGTTTTTTTTTAATTTTTCAAAGTGTGGGCTTTCAACAAAAAATATATATTTCTCAGCAAGTTTTTTAAATGAATTTATTTATTTTTTTAACATGGAAGAGGGGAGGAGAAGAAGAAAAAAGGTTCGAAGTTGGTTTGAACGAATCTCAAGTTGTTGTTACACATTTTTTTCTTCCAGTAGTACAACAAAAAATTCCGCCGTTTGGTGATTGGTTTCTTTTTTCTGATAGCGCTTGCATATTGTTTTCTTCTTCTTCACTTGCCTAAAGTATTAGATGAAAGCGGGAAAAAGGGATGGTGTTTTGGAAAAAAAATCAAAAACATAGCGAAAAAAGTAAATAGTAGATTTTCAATGTTTGTTAAGACAAAATCTAGAAAATGCTTATTTTTATAAAACAAAAAGAAAAAAATGAATAATTAAAAAAAAAGAATAGGAATTTTAATTCCATTAAAAATTTATCCGTTGAAAGAGGAGGTTTTGTTTTGCTGAGCTTTGTTTTTATAGGTAAGAGGATTTGTTGATTGGTTTTGTTTTCCATTTTGTGAAGAGTTTGCTACTAAAGTTTTTCTTGTTGTTGTTGTTTTTGCTTTTTGTAGTGCTTATTTTTTTGTTTTCAAAATATTTTTTGTTTTAGTTTTTTTTTTGGTTTCTTGCAAATTTTTCCTTTGTTTAGTTGGTAGGCACAGTTTCGCGCACATTGTGAACCTGCAAAACGGCAACAGCTTCTTCAACCTTGGCCTTGAGGGCTTCATGATCCTCGATCATGTGCAACAGCTCGGAGTTTTCGATTTCCAACAACATGCCGGTGATCTTGCCAGCCATGCTGGGGTGCATGCGTTCAATCATGGGATACAAACGTTCACCCAAGATTTGTTTTTGTTCTTGGGGCTTGGCATTGGCCAACATGGAGGCCAACAGCTTTTCTTGACCTAAAAGAAAACAAAGACAAGGCAAAAAATTAACATTGTTGTTACAGCTATTGTGTTGTTGTTGTGCCTAACTTACCACCCTTTTGATGCATTTGTTGAACCTGAGGCTGAGCAGGAACCTGTTGTACAGCTGGATTGCGCACATTGGTGTTGTATTTGTAGTTGGCAGCTCTCTGCTGTCCACCACCGGCGGGCATTGGGGCACCAGCCATTGGCATATTGGCAGCTGGGATGGTCTGTTGTCCGGTAATGGCACGAGCGCCAGTATTACGCATGCTATTAGCCGCACCAGCGTGTGCGCCCTGTACGCCTTGTTGTTGACCGCGAGCAGCAGCAGCTGCAGCATTTGGTGGACGATATTGGGTACCGGCAGCACCGGGAATGGCGGGGTTTTGGAAACCACCGGCAGCGGGGGCTGCCTGTGCCACACCTTGGGCACCGGCAACGGGACGTGGTACCTGACCAGCCCAGCGTGGGGTGTTGCGCATAGCGGTGGGTACCTGAGGGCCGAAGAAACGTTGAGCTGGACCCATGGTGGGGACAAAGTAACTGCCAGCCGAGGCAGGTTGGAAAATCTGTCCCAAGGTTTGCATACGCATACCACCCATGTGACGCATATATTGGGTGGCCAAATGGGCCTTGCGCACTTCCTTGCGTTGGGCCAAAGCAACATACAATGGCTTGGAACCAATGACGCGGCCATTCAATTCGGTGACGGCACAGGTGGCCTCATTGGGAGCAACAAAGCACACGAAACCAAAGCCCTTGGAACGGCCTTCCTCATCGGTCATAACCTTGGCCGAGGTGATGGTACCGTACAAGGAGAATTCCTTGCGCAAACGTTCATCATCGATGGTGTCATCCAAATTCTTGACGTACAAGTTGACGCCGAATACCGACTCTTGGCGTTTCTTCTTCAATTCTTCGAATTTACGCTTGAGTTCCTGTTGGCGTTCAGCCTTCTTTTGGGCACGAGCCACATACAAGGTCTTACCCTCGCTAACCTCCTTGCCGTTAAGGGCCTCAACGGCAGCCTCGGCCGCCTCGGTGGTCTCAAAGGCCACAAAACCAAAGCATTTGCTTTTACCATCATCCTTGGTCATTACCTTGTAGCTGGTAATTTTACCATATGGTTCAAACATTTCCTTTAGTTTTTCATCATCAACATCTTCGGCAAAGTTCTTGACATAGACATTGGTGAAGAGCTTGGCCTTTTCGCCCAATTCCTTCTCGCGTTCCTTGCGGGGAATGAATTTGCCAACGTACACCTTTTTGCCGTTCAACAACATACCATTGACCTTTTCGATGGCACTGTTGGCGGCCTCTTCAGTTTCGAAGTGTACAAAACCGTAACCCTTGGACGAGCCCTTATCATCGGTGGCCACCTTGCAACTTAAAATGTTGCCAAAGGCGGAAAATGTATCGTAGATGGCTTTGTTGTCGATACTCTTGTCCAAGTTTTTGATGAAAACATTGCCAATGCCGGAACGGCGCAATGAGGGATCACGTTGAGACCACATAATGCGAATGGGTTTGTTGCGGATCAAATCGAAATTCATGGTGTCCAAAGCACGTTCAGCTAAAAGGAGAAGACGAAAAACAAAAAATGGGAGACAAATTAGTAAATTTAATTTCAAAGAATATTTTATTATTTTATTTTAAAATAATTATAAAACTATATAAAATCAAATTACCTAAGATTTAAGAAAAAAAAATATAAAAATAAATTCTGTAACTTTTCTACTTCTGTTATATCCAGGAGAGATAGGATATGACATGGTAAGTCAAGCTAATATATTTTTTCTAGCAATTGTGAATCTTAATCGATTGAAAATAGAATACAGATCAATCGATCAATGGGTATAAATTGCAAATTCATATCTATACTTTATTTCTGTCCCTTCTTTAGAAAATGTAACTCTTCTACTTCTGTTATATCCAGAAAAATATAGGATATGACATGGTAAGTCAAGTCAATAAATTTTTCTAGCAATTGTGAATCTTAATCGATTGACAATTGAATACAGATCAATCGATCAATGGGTATAAAATTGCATAAAAAATACTCAAAATTATAAATTTTCAACAATTGGATACGGATAAAAGTGGATAATCCTTTGCTATTTTTCGCTCTAAAAAGCCCTAATAGCAATTTCCATTATCGATCTAAAGTACCCTACTCATTGATTTGCTCTTATTAGGTTCGTTCGTTTACTCAATATTTGTATAAATCATTACAAAATGTTGTTCGTTTACCCAAAAGAGAGTGAGTTGAGAGAGCAGATTGATTGTTGTGTTACAGAGCATTTGCAAATTCTTACAAGGAAAAATTTACTCAGTATGAATTTTCTTGCACCATCATCAGATATTAAATCAGTTGTTTTGTTATGTTTTGTAAACAAACAAAAAATTGTTCTCAAGAAATTTGATTGTTTTGTGAATTTTATTTTGATTTTGTATCATTAAATTCCAAAATGGATGAAGAAAACGCAAGTATTTAAAAATAAGGTAATACAAGAGTAATTGGCGAACGCTTTTTTAGGTTCCAAATCCAAACAAAAAAGTGTGCATCCCTAACATGTCTGGAACACCATCGGTTATGTCCACCCCAATATCAATTGCAGATACAGGAATAACAGGTCACAACCCTTTTAAATGTTGGTGGGGAACAAACAACATCAATTTTCCGCTTGTTATCCACTTTTCTAATAAAAATGCTGTTTTTTAGTTTGCGCCAATTTGTTTGTTGTTTTAATCAGCTGTGTCGAAACAATCTTTTTACTGGATGTTGTTCGTTTACTTTTTGCAGTTTTCTCTCTTGAAAAGGAAAAATTCGTATTTACTCTCTGCAAATTCTTACTGAGTAAATATTACTGGGAAAGTAAACGAACGAACCTATTAATATAAAAAATTTATTATAAAAAATTTTATATTCCTAAAATGTAACTTTTCTACTTCTGTTATATCCAGCAAAAAATATAGGATATGACATGGTAAGTCAAGTCAATAAAATTTCTCTAGCAATTGTGAATCTTAATCGATTGAAAATTGAATACAGATCAATCGATCAATGGGTATAAATTGCATAAAAAATACTCAAAATAATGTCTTCCATAAACAAATGTAACTCTTCTACTTCTGTTGTGTCCGGGTGCAAGTGGAATACAACATGGTAAGTCAAGCTAATAAAATTTCTCTAGCAATTGTGAATCTTAATCGTTTGAAATGGAAGTATAAAAATCAACCGATCAATGGGTATAAATTGCATAACAAATACTCAAAATGGTCCCTTCCGAAAAAATGTAACTCTTCTACTTCTGTTGTGTCCGGGTTCAAGTGGATTACAACATGGTAAGTCAAGCTAATAAAATTTCTCTAGCAATTGTGAATCTTAATCGTTTGAAATGGAAATATAGAAATCAACCGATCAATGGGTATAAATTGCACAAGAAATACTAAATATGTATATATATTTTTCCTATAATGTAACTCTTCTACTTCTGTTGTGTCCTTGAGAAGCTGGACTACAACATGGTAAGTCAAGTCAATAAATTTATCTAGCAACTATGAATCTTAATTGGTTGAAAGTGAATATAATATCCAACCAATCAATGGGTATAAGTTGCAAAAGCAAATAAATCGGAAGAAAATAATTTGTCCTCGCCTTAGTAAAGGAGAAAACAAATGGAATTTTAATTTCTATAATGTCCTAACATGTTTTTTTTTATTTTACTATAGAGCTTAACTTTTTCGATCTAATGAGCCATAACATCAATTAGCATTGTCGATCTTAAGAAGTGCGATTTGTTTAAGCAAAATGAAGCAAAAAATACATATTTTGGCTAATTACAAACTAAATTAAACAATTAATAATAAAATTACACATTTTTTATAGGGTAAAAGAGAAATGATGCGATTCCTAACGAATTTCTTAAATGTTTTAAATAGTACGTGACACTTGCCCTTTTTCGCTCTAAGGAGCCCTAATAATTGGATAATTGGATAATTAAAGAAATTCTGGCATATAACATATAAATATATATACGTCATCATCAGTTTGACTAAAACAAGAAAAAACACACAATGCAAAGGATCAAAAACCAACCTATGGAGCCCTAACAATATGACACCTGTTTAGTTATCATGTCTCAAGTTTGGCGCGCATTTTTAGAGGATTTTGGTAAAGAAAGGTTTTTGGTTTTGTGACAATGCATCTCCCGCATAGCCAATTTCCATAGCGACGTCCTACTTTATGAAAAAATTGTGTATTGTATTTATATCAAGATATAGCTCCCGGCAAGTATTGAAAATATCTATCCAAAAAGGGCTACCATTAATGGCTTCTCTTTAAAGGCTTTGATGCTACACCGAAGGTCGAACAATGAGCACCTGGAAAACCACATGGTTTCAGGAACACAAAAGGATATATAATCCGAATGTACCCCGATTGGTACCCGGGCAACGTCTGTCGTCTTATTCCATTATATTAAAATCAGTTATTGTAGCAGACCTATTGCTTTTACACAAAGGTCTGAGGTGATAGACGTTGGCCGAGTAAGACTCGGAAGACGTGGAAACGTTTAAAAGCAGCAAGGATGGCATCTACGAGTTTACTACACACACTGAGACCATACAGTTCTTCATAAAGACCAATTGGTCTGCATAGAAACCATACCTATAAAAAGGACAAATTGGGCTGTGTAGAGACCATAAAGGGTTTATAAAGACCAATTGATCGGTATAAAGACTACACAGGTTTTTATATAAAATGGTCTGAATATAGACTGCAGGTCGGAAGCAAATTAGTCTGATGTGCCTACCTTGTGTTGTAGAAAGATCGAGACCCAAAAAAAACCTAATCAAATTTGCTCCCTTATTAAAAATTAAATGTAGAGACCATAAAAGGTTTATAAAAAACAAATGAACAGAATAAAGACAATACAGGTTTTTATAAAAATTGGTTGAAAATAAAAGTGTACTATCATCAATAATAAATTAACATTTTGTTTTGTGTATGAAAACGAAACTCATGCATTGCTGCTCCAACAAGCACATGTTGGAATTTTTCTTTATTTCTTGGTCGTTATCAAAACAATTTTTTTTATAGAAATCGAAGACTTTCCAACAAAGACCGTATTGCGTAGACAACAAAAGAGACAGAGCACAAAGCAACAACAAAAGCAAATGTAATAAAATAAGAAAACAAATTGTATGAGGGGAGGGGGCAGGCAGGCAGACAACAACAAAAAGAAACGTCAAAAGTACATTCACTTTTCATTAAGGAGGTTATGTTTTACATTGGCTTGGCTGTTTTATCATATGAAATATATCAAGTTATAATAGTAGCTGCTGCTGATGGCGACTGCTTCTGCTGGTTTTTACTGACTGAGGGGACAATGACCTCCGCGCATTTTGTAGACAAGTTGTGTGTGTCTTGATGTTAAAAACAGAAAACAACGAAATTTAACCAACCAAAATTACCAATGACATGAAAAAATCCATTCACATGTTTACAAAAAAAAAAGAAAAAATACGGGAGGGAGGGGGTCGGTCGGTCACTCACAACAGCAGATAATGGTGAAAGTTACCCACCAATAAACCAAAATATACAATTGCTGCCCCCTGACTTGTTCAATATCTTTAACCGAATAACAAAAGACCAAAAAAACTGTAGACGTAGTTTCGATTGGACAAAAAACACAGACTTTAAATAACTGCGCAGTTTGATTTTTTGTGTTTTTCATGTCAACTGAAAAAAAAAAATAAATTCATTGGAGCAACAAAATAGCTATGAAGAAATATTTTAATATACTGCACACATCATCAGCAGCAACTGGACTGGACTATCATCATCTATTAAACGCCTAACTCGCGACGAATGAATGGCCTTGGAAATATGTAAAAAAATAACAACTAACCTAAACAACAACAATATATGTAGTAAAAATTAATTAAAATAAATTCAACCATAGAAAAAATAGAAAATCGTTTAAAATAATAAAAATGTGTAACCAATATAAAACAACGGTGATATTGATGTGAGGAATTTACAATAAACCGAATTTCCTATAGCTCTCCTTCTCATACATAATTTTACATAATTAAAAATGTCCCTTTTTACTATTACAGCATCTAAAAGAACATCTATAGAGATCAAAATAAAAATAATCGATCAAAACCTCTATTGGAGGTTTCCTCATAATGTATGTCAACCACTAGGAAGCTCCTCATAACTTAGTTTGACTTTCCGAACACTACTTGTAAGGTATTTGGGTGAGTAGAGAGCGTCTGATGGTTTACTGGGATTTTTTATTCGAACTTTCGGCATATTAGAGATCATTATGTATTAGGACATCTAAAAAGTTCCTCAAAATATATTCGAACCGTTATCTTTCACTTCTAGAGATTTTCATATAAGATATTCAGACTTCTATGGGCAGCTCTTCATAATAATAAGATAGTAAGCAAGTTCCTGAATGTGTTTTTGGAACAATAGAGAAGTACTTATGGTGTATTTGGATCTAAATGAGATATTCTTGTTGCGTATTCGGACATCTTTAGAAGGCTCCGTAATTTTCTAGAAAGTTCCTCGGTATATATACCGACTCCTAGTAATTTAGTGTGACTTCTAGATTGCAAGCAAGTCTTTAAATAAATTTTCCAAACTATAGAAGATCCCTTATAATGTATTTGGACCTTTTAAGGGCATTCATATTTATGTGGACATCTAGAATGCATGTCATAAAACATTCGAATTTGTGCGAAGATATTCATATTTGTGCGAAGTAAGGGAACTCCGTTTCTAAAACCTGGAGGATTATACATTTACCATTGTTTTGTAGGTTTTATCTAGAACATTGATCCAGTACCCAATAATCTTGCAAAGGGGAAATTGAATAAAGAAAACGATAATTTTCTCTTCCACCTATTCCTATACACTTTAATTATTAGCATTTTCATAGTTCCTATGTTAGTTCATAATTCAGACTATAGAACCCTGCTAAACATACATCAGCTGTTTAGTACTGAGAGGTGGCGGCTGGCTGCCAATGAATTATGGCGCAATTTTTGTTTCAAAGGAATGGCTTAAAAAAGGCGCTAACATTTCGACCATATTTAACAATAAAAAAACAATGAATGGGCCAGATCAGGGGCGGCCCTACACACAACAATTCCTAAATAGAAAATCTTTGGTAATTATAGATTTTTTTTCAAACGTGTGGATCCTTAATAAGCCCTTTAATTAGGTGGTTACAATACTACTCGAACGATTGGTAGACTATATCATCAACAGCAACTGAAAAAAACTACCTCCTATACCTATATATTCAATGCCACTTCCTTATGGCCACATACAACACATGTGTTTTTTTTTTTTTTTGTATGTATGTATACATGTGCCGCCATACATTCCAAACTAATCTGGAACTATGAAAAAAATAAATAAATTGAAATATATATCGCACAATTAGCGATGCTATGCTGCTTATTCTTCTTCACAATCTATTGTGTGTATGGATGATCTGAATGGCCCAGTCACAAATTAAAAATTATTCACAGCCAGAATGTGATGGTATTTAAACTCAATTAAGAGGTGGGCCAGTAACAACAAAACAAAAGCAAAAACAACAATAACAATGGTTGGCAACAACACCAAAGGTATGTATAGCTCATGAATATTTAATCATAAATACCCAAAAGGTTTAAATATTAAAAAAAAAAATCACGTTTTTTCCAGCATAGAAAATGCAAGTGAAGAAATCCGCAACAATAACAACAAAAAGTGGTGTCATCATCCAAACGCACTGGGAGCACACACATATTAAGGTAACAAATAAAAAATATTGCCAGAAAAAAAAACAAATTAAAACTATGCCACGACGTTAATATATAAAAAAGGCAGTAATGCTGGTCGGGTTATTTTGGCTTTGTATGATAAATAAAAGCGAAACCAGTTTCATTTCGGTTTTCATTTCAGTTTTGTGAACTGAAAATGAAAAGAAGGTAGAAGAAGTGCCAGCAAACAACAAGGCGGAATTGCATGACAACCGAACAAAAGAACAACATATTTTCATCTTTTGAAAAAATAATAGCCCCCCTCTCTTTTTTCTAAATAGCTGCACATACAAAGAATAATGTTAACGTGTGCAAAAAAAGAAATGAATCCGAAAGCAGCACACATACACTGGAACAAATTAAAATAAAACAACAAATATTTCCATAGAAGAAATTCCAACTGGGTAAACAAAAGTAAAAGAAAAAAATTACTTGTGATGGAATATGAACGAGTAACGAAACCTAATCACCCCAATTCATATGAATGTTTGAATTGATGGTTGGTGGTGGTTCTCTTGGAATTCAAAAAAAGATCAATTTAGGAGAAAAAAAAAACAAATGTGTGAGAATTTGAAATGTAGCTCATCTCCATTGTTAGGATAATGGAATTAAAAAAAAGACATGATGTTTTGCAAAATTGATAATCAGAAAAAGGCGGTACAATTCATAACAACGAAATGGTTTGAATTTAGAAACAATACTTAAGAAAATTAAAACCCATGGAGGGAGAAACCAACCCTAGTATACATTTACTGTTATTTTCAAAATAATGGCATTTTTATTAAAAACAAAAATGTCTGTTGTCAACCCTCATATATATGTACGACACTTGCGACAGACATATTTAAAATATTCAACCTTAATCGTATTCAAATCACAGTTAAACCGAATTAAAAAACAACAACGCTATAGTTGTTGTTAGTAATGGTTGAATGGTAACAAAACTCATTTTGTTTTGCATTGCAATTTTGTTGCTGTGGCCAGTGTCAGTCGCAATTTTTTCTCCATTACTGGTTTCGAAAAAAAAAAACAACATTAAAACAAACAAGGTAATGACTATTTAATTGCACTTTTAAGTCACGGTTTGAATTTAAAAAAAAATGTAGGTTTTTCTACCATATGCAAAACAACAAAAATAAAAAGAGGTGTAGAGAGGTGGTGGTTGGCGGTCTGCTCTTTCGAAATATCAACTTTAATATTATGGAAATAGTTTTGGTTAAGCGGAAAGAGAACGTGATTGGCTAAAAATTAGTTAAAATGTTTTTAATTTAAATTTTTTGTTGTGAAGAAATGTTTGTGTAAAATTTTTGATAGGAGGATTTGCCACCGAATGGGAACCAAAAAAATGAAATATGAGCCAATTCTATTGTAAAACATGTATGAAAATACTGGGGGTACCGTTATATGAGGACTATATCCGAATGTCAACAATTACAGAGAGAGAAGAAAACATATTTGTCACTTTTATCAACATCTTGAAAGAATTTTATTAATTAAGGTAAGACAAAGAAGGTTTCAGAGAAAGGGTTAATAGCTAGAAGGGAGAAGAGGAGTGATAGAAAATATAATTTCCTCTCCCCAACTAACATTATACATAATACACATCAATTCTCAGCATTTCCATAATTTCTATGTTTGTTCATAATTCAAACTATATAACCCTGATCATCAGCTGTTTAATATGAGAGCTGGCTGGCTGTTAATGAATTAACGCGCAATTTTTGTTTCAAAGGAATAATTATATAGAAAATGCTTAAAAAATTATAATTTCTGCCATATTAAAAAAAACAATGGATGGGCAGAAGCCCAGAGGCCCTATACACAACAAATAATAAGAATCCGAACTATGAAATTATAATGAAAAATGCATTTTTTTCAGTGTCTAATACCGTGCGTGAATTTTTTACAAAATCATTTCAGGGTCTAATAACAGGCGTGACTATAAAAAAAAAAAATACTTTTCAGGGTCTATTAACCAGTTCGAATTTAAAATTTTCAGTCTATATAAACAGACAATTAAAGAAATAAAAAACAGGTTGGATTTAAAAAAAAAAAATGATTTCATGGCCAAATAACAAGTTTGAATTTTTTGAAAAACTATTTCAGGGTCTATTAACAGTTTGGATTTAAAAACAAAAAAACGATCAAATAAGAGGTTTGGATTTTTTGAAAAATTTCTTCAGAGTCTACTAGCAAGTTTGGATTAAAAAAATAGTTCAGAATCTATTAAAGTGCGTGTATTTTTCAATGAAAAATAATAACCTTCCCTGAGTATTATGTATGTATAAAAATGTATAAAAATCTTATAAATTTCCATGTGAAAATTTTCATTTTTTCCTAAATACAAAATTCCGAGTTCATCACATTTTTTTTTCTTTCTTTAATTTTTGTAAACAAAAAAAAATCCCTATTTCTAGATTTTACACATCATCGTCGTCATAAAGGCGAGGTTTTGGATGATTCACAATTTGTGGTGGACGACACGAATACATTTTTTTCTTGCTTTCAATATTGTAAACACACAAAAGCGATAACATTGCAAATTCCATGGAAAAAATTGCAAAAAAATCCCAAATGGGGGAAAACTTACCCAACATACCATTCAGTAATCAAATCTCAATACCACTTGAGAACAAGCTTATAATAATAGTTGTTCTTAAGCTTTTTTTAGTAATATTACAAAAATGTTGTTAAAATTTGACTTCACAAACAGTTTTCAACTATGCTTGATAAACTATTGTTGTACACAAATGTTTCTCAAGAGTTGTATATTGAGATGAGTAACCTTTATACATACTAGTTAAGATAAAATTACATTTGTAAGCTTATTCTACAATTGCAAGAATAAGCTTATAGTAATATTACACAAGTAATTGTATCATAAGGGTTCCGTTTTGATTTTTCTACAATTATTAATAAACATTTATCAAGATTATCTCAAGACTTTTTCAAGCTTATGCTTGTGTTGGTAAGCTTAATATAATATTATTCTCAATACTTTTGGTTTGTTGGGTAATTACATACTTACAACTACACACACACACATAAACAATGTATGAAAATAATAAAAAAAAAACAAAGCAACAACAAATACACTTACCATCAGCTGGTTGTTGGAAATTAACATAGGCATAGCCCAATGAACGACGAGTTATGATGTCACGGCAAACACGAATGGACATCACTGGGCCAGCCAAGGAGAACTTATCAAAAAGTCCAGCCTCATTGATGTCATGATGTAAATCACCCACATATAGAGAAGCCATTTTTTATTTCAAGTCCGTTTATTTACTTTTGTTGATGATGTAAAAAGAGATAAGGTGATGAAAAAAGTATAAACAAAAATCTACACAAAGGAAAAACTTAAAAGAAACTGTAACGAGAGATAAGAAAAAAAAGATAACATTAATTTTTTAATATATCTCTGGGGAAAAAATTAAGAAAAAAAAACAGCTACGTTTGATGATAAGATATTTTACAAAAGTGGCGGGCGGGTGGCCGTTGTCACAAATAAAATGCTGCAATGGCAACCCTAGTTATGTTTTTGGTAGCTGTGCTGCTAAAAGAAATGAGTGAGTTGATTTCCTGTCGCAATCACAAATACACTCTCTCATACACACACGTAAACAAGGGCAGGCAGGCACAGCACACTCACTCTTCATTTCTCTTTGGTAGACGACGATGATGAGAAAGAACATGAATTGCCATGGTTATGAACGGGGGCACAAGAAAACCACTACAATTTCTATGCAATTCACAATTTTAATGGCAAGGAAGTTGGAAAAAGAAAAACTCCATCAAAAAACATTAAATTATTGGCAAAACAATAAACATTCGATTTTTTCTTCTTCTAACTGCTGCAACACCACACATTTTTATTTTGAATCGATTTTTCCATCTCTTTCTAGCACAAAGCAAATTTCCATACATCTTTCACGCTCACTCATTTCTTTTTCCATTTTAAAGCTACTGCCACTGCTGGCACGACGACCACACCACGTTTTTTTGTCTTTTTGCTTCTTTCATCATAATTTTTTTCGTTTTTTTTTTTCAAAGAATGTCTGGTAACAACTTAATTTTGTTGGAATTTTTTTGTCTGTTCATGATCTTTTTCTTCTTCCTTGTCGTTGTGCACTTACGTTTTTAACTCTTTCGATTTTTTTGCTACTTTTTACAATTTTTTTTGTTTTTTTATTTTTATAATTTTTTTTTGTTTTTTTATATTTTTTTTTTAATTTTTCACAAAAAATGTGATGACGACAAGCCGTGTGCTACAAACTCCACGACCGCTCACCAAAACGGACTCGACTCGTTTGTAGTCGGATTGAAAAGAAAGAGACTGTGCAATGCAAGTACTTGATTACCTCTATGTGGGTACTAGTGCTGGCACGAGCCAAACAGTGTTGGTAAACTCATGGTACGTATGATGATGGTAATTAAAATGAAACGGGCGGGTGTTTATTAGAAAAAATAATAAAGAAAAACAAAAATAAATTATAACGAAATAATAAAAACTTAAATTAATTATAATAAATTAATATTAATAAAAAATAATTGATTTTGTTTTATATAGAAAAAAAGGGTCATTTCTATAGGAAAAATGGCCTCAATAGCTGAGGACCAATTTTTTTTTCTTTCTTTAGAAGAACATTTGGTTACCAGTTTCTGTTCCAGTACGAGCAGTGTGTCATTATTAATTCATATATGTGTTATCACTTCTTAGTGAATATCGTTATACGACGTTTATCTTCAGAGGATTTTTAATAGTCTACAATTTGGTCCTCTGCTTCTGTGGCATTTTTGCTATAGAAAAAATTTGCTTCTGGGGCATTTTTTTTCTATACAAAAAAATTGGTCACCAACTTCTGTTCCACAACAAGCAGTGACATGTACACTTATTTCATGAGTTATCGATTCATTGTGTTATCACTTCTTAGAGAATATCATATAACCCGCTATTTTGCGTGTTTCTCTTTCTTCACATGCAAAATAGCTGTTTAAATTGTAAACGTCAATGGACGTTATTCACTATGAAGTGATAAAACAATAAATAATTCTTCTGAAGCTGAGACCATTTTTTTTTATAGAAAAATGGCAGAAGCTGAGGACTAAACTTGTTTCTATTGAAAAAAATGGCCTCAAAATCTGAGGACCCTTTTTATACCCTACACAACTATGTTGTCTGGGTATTATAGCTTTGTGCAGCCCCTAAAGTTTGTAACGCCGCGAAATATTGGTCCTAGTTGAGATATGACGATGGGTATACTTCATCGTCATATCTCAACTAGCTGAGTCGATCTAGACATGTGTGTCCGTCCGTCCGTCTGTCCATTATAATTTGTAAACACGATACAGGCCACAGTTATGGACCAATCTTCACGAAATTTTGCATGTAGGATGGGTTCTGGCCAATGAAGACCCCTATTGTTTTTGGGAAAGATCGGTTAATATTTAGGGGATGAAATTGACCAAATACTAAATTTTTGTCGGTTTTTCTGGTCGCTCCAGAGGCCGCAATAATGGTCCGAACATCGTGAAATTTTGCATGGAGAAGGGGATCCGGCCAAAGAATCTTTATCAAAGCATGCCTGCTGGCCCTGACTTTTGTGTGAAAAATTACAAAATTTTTATTCTGGGGCGTATATATTTACCCCTGAATGACATAGACCCGAAAAGTTGATATTATATCCAAGAGGAGTGGTTGACCTTTAAATTAATACCAATTATATTGTTGTATGTGCTCGGATATGGGAGTTACACCTAAATATTTACAGGTATCTCCATATCCGTATATTATTTAGTAACCCATTATCACTCTAAAGCGCGGAACTATAGCGCTGATCGCTTTGAAATGTTCCAGTTATGGTCAAGGACAACGCCTATAATTTTCGGTGATGATCAGATGATAATTTTGGATTGAAGTGGACCGAAAACTTAATTTTTTGTGTTATTTTCGAGTCGAAATGAAAGCCGAACATCACAACACAACCCACGGAAAATATGTCAGTGTAAAGAAGATGTGCTGTTTACCTCTAATCGGGCAAGAGGATGCTAATATCTCAAAATATTGCTCAGGCTCGGAATAAACATCCGCAGAAAATTTGAGTTCCGTGGTAGTTGTGTAGGGTATCGTATGGTCGGCCCCGTCCGACGATACTGCTCCGCTCACTGGTTTATATTTAAAAATTGTCCTAATATACTGGGGATCAAATTTTTTTCAACAGAAAAAATTTCTCAGAAGCTCAAAGACCAAATGTTTTTCTATAGAAAAAAATGTTCTCAGAAGTTGAAAACTAAATACTTTTTCGAATGACTTTTCTAGCAAAAATAGTACAATATAGTACTATTTTGTAAAAGTTGTACAATATAGTACTATTTTGTACGTTCAGCAACACAACTAATATTGTGCCAACACTGATTAAAACAGTGATCAAATACCGATTACTTTCAACCATATTACTCACATTAGACGTGTTTTTTATCAATTGATGGATTTTTTAGATAACATATTTTTATAAAATAAATAGAAAAATATTTTAGAAATAAAATTCGATATTTTAGCATAGCATTTTTCATTATTTTACAAAATATATTGGCAATAAATTTTTGAAAATATTAAAAAAAAGAATACATTACCTTCCACAGTTTCCAAATGAGAGATAAATTGTAGTCTTTTTTTTGTAAAATAGAAATCTCTAGAAATTTTCCAGCACAACACAGAACAACAAAAAACCGAACACAAATTTGAATATTTTTGCTTCAAGTCATTTGGGAATTTCTCTTCGAAAAATATTCGAAGTAAAAATTATTGTAATTTCATCTGGAGGCGAAATTATCAGCGTTCTTTCTTTTTATTCTTAATCATCAAAACATTTCTTTTTTGCGAGACAATAAATAGCACCAAAAAAATGTGAAATATTTTTTTCAAAAATTTTCTTTTCCGACTTTTGAAGGCGAGCGAGCGAAATGTAATTTTTTTCCAAATGGCAGCCGATAAAATGTGAAATAAAAATCAATGTTTATGATTTCGAAAAAATATATATTTTTTATTTACTGGCAAATACAAAGTAGTAATTTCCAAAACGATTCTAGAATTTTATTTCTTTTTGCCCTTTTTACCTTTACCCTTTTTCGCCTGTTTACGGCTACGCTGCTTGCGAAAACGTAACCATCGACGCTGTATAGTTCTCGCGGCCCGATTCATCATAAATAGCAAGATTTTCTCTTCCTGTTTACGTTTTTCCTCCTCTTCTTTGGTGCGTACAATCCGATTATATTCCTCTTCTTCGCGTCTATATTCGAGCATAAATTCATCGTAGAGCTGCTTTTGTCGCTCATATTCCTCTTGTAAATTCATATTTTCGATAATTTTATCACCAATTGTTTGATCGAATTTTTTAATTAACGATTGTAGCTGGATGAGGAGTTTGTTTCTGTGAAGGAAAACAAGATTAGAGGTTAGGTTGGAAAATTGTCAATATTTAAATGACTGTCAGCGGACTGTCAGCAGGTGCTTTTGGGGGGCAAAAGGCTCGAAGGAAACTATCGATGAGTGTATATGTTCGAACCCAGGCAGACAGACTTACGACTAAATCGAGAACTTGGGTTTCACTTTACCTACCAGACCTCATTCCGAAGCTTCTCTGAGTATCTGAAGTCGACAAAAAGCTCTCAACTGGCCTTTTGCATATTCTAAGTGTATCGAATTGGACAGAAAGGCCTCAACAAACCTTGACTTTTGGACATATATATGGTATCGAAGCTTTTGTTCAAATTTCACCCGTTTACATATCTACTTACTTTTCATCTCGGGCAATTTTTTCCTGCTTCAAATTCTCTTTGAGCACCTTTTCATAATTCGCATTGATCTGCTCCAATTCCTCTTGCAGTTCCTTTTGTTTGACAGCACTGGCAGCATGAATTTGTCGAATACTGCGACTAGATTTTATGCTATTAAAAAAATATATATGATGAGTATCGGATAGAACTACCCTCCAACTTATTAGAATTTTTTTCTATTGAAAAAAATTTTGGTTATCAGCCTCTGCCGTCATTTTTATCTATAGAAAAAATTTGTCCTCAGCTTTACAGGTTTTTTTTTCGATAGAAAAAATTGATTACCAGCCTCAGAGGCGACATTTCTTCTAAAAAAATTGGTCCTCAGCTTCTGAGGCCAGAAAAAAATTTGGTCTCTAACTTCTGAAGACATTTTATAGAAAAAATGTGTCCTTAGTTTGGAAGGTCATATATTTCAAAGGAAAACAAAATTGGTCTTCAGTTTCTGAGTCGATTTGTTTGCTATAGAAAATAAATTGGTAATGTTTTTTCTATAGAAAAATGTGGTCCTCAGCTTCTGAGGAAATTTTTTTCTATAGAAAAAATTTGGTCTTCAGCTTCTGAGGACATTTTTTTCTATAGAAAAAATTGGTCTTCAGCTTCTGAGGACATTTTTTTCTATAGAAAAAATTTGGTCTTCAGCTTCTGAGGACATTTTTTTTCTATAGAAAAAATTTGGTCTTCAACTTCTGAGAACATATTTTTTCTATAGAAAACATTTTGTCCTCAAAGGCTCTTTTTCAAGAAAAAATATTTGAGCTTCTGAGAACATTTTTTTTCTTTAGAAGAAAATTTAGGTACAAGTTTCTGTTCCAGAACGAGCAGTGACCACTACCATCACTTCTTATTTAATGTCGTCATACGACGTTTATCTTCAGAGGATTTTTAATAGTCAACAATTTCGTCCTCTGCTTCTGTAGCATTTTTTTCTATAGAAAAAAGCTTCTGAGACATTTTTTTTCTACAGAAAAAATTGGCCATCAGCTTCAGTGACCGTGAGTAATTGATATATATGTGTTATCACTTCTTAGTGAATATCATTATTTGACGTTTACAATTTAAAGCGCTATTTTGCGTGTGAAGAAAGAGAAAAACACGCAAAATAGCGGCTTACATTGTAAACGTCAATTGACGTTATTCACTATGAAGTGATAACACAATAAATAATTGTTCTGATCGCAATCGTCTCATTTGAAATTTGATCTTGTTGAAGAAGGAGGCGCACAAAAGTGGCATTGTCATATATTGTTGTTGTTTTTGTAACGTAACAGTGAAATAAACACATCATTGTTATTTGTATATGACATAAAATGCCCTCATTTTTTCAAAATTGGCAGGTTACATTGTAAACATCAAATGACGATATTAACTAAAAAGGGATAACACAATAAATAATTGTTCTGATCGTAATCGTCTCATTTCAGATTTGTTTTTTTTATAGAAAAAAATGTGGTGTTCCCTTAGCTACTGAGCCGAATTTTTCTTTATGAAAAAAATTAAAAAAAGAAATCGTACCTCAGCTTCTGAGGCGATTTCATTCAACTTACATTTCCTGTTTAATTTTCACATTATTATCATATTTGCGAAAAGACAGACTCTCTTCGTATTTTTGTATCATTGCCTCTTTGGCGGCCAGTTTCCATTGCAGATTGATACGTTGCTTTTTTAATTGGCGTTGGGTAACTGGAAGTTAAAAAAAAACAATAAATCCGTTAATAACTTTCAAGCAACATCATTAGTGATCTTAACATACCTTGAATATTCTTTTTTACCATTTCATTTTCATGAAATATTTCATGAATTCGCTTCTCTTTATTTAATTCCGCAATGGCGTATTTTTTTAAACGTTGCTCACTTATATCGCGTAGTAACTGGAATGCATCGAGTAGAGATTTATCTTGGGGCGACAGATCATTTTGCATGTGGGGTAATAAGTAATCCAGAATATTGTAATTTTCATGACAGTAATCGATAATTTTAATGAGACGATAATCTAAATAAGGTGCGCCGCCGGTGGCGTTATTGGATGGCAAAGTAGAGATTTTCAATTTCTGCAAATGGGATAAGGGAGAGGATTGAGTATTTTGTCGGTACACACTACCTAAAGTGTGTATAGATTTACGAAATCCACTCGATCTCAAATGTCAATTCTATATAGCGTATAGGTCAAATATAATTCACTGGATTTGTGATGTATAGGCTAAGGAATTGGCATTAAAAATCGAGTGGGTTTTGTAGTCTAAACGCTTTTTAACAAACAAAAATAGAATATAGGTCCATGATAAGGACTTTAACTCCTTTGGTATTTAAAGTTTCATCTTCTCTTTTTCTTTGCTTACCCTTTCCTTAATGTATTGCTGAATAAGTTTTTGACAGACACCATAACCCGTCTCATCCAAATATTGTTCTAACATAATCGGATTCTCAAAAAGATGCGGTAAAATCAGGGCAATTTTCAGTTTTTCTATGGATTCGGTGAGAATTCTTAAAACACTATTGACCTGGGTCATACGTTCCAAAGATAATTCTAATGAAAAAACAAGACACATCAATATTTTGAAAATTTAAATTAATGGGAACAAATTATCCCATTCCTCAATGATACAAAAAGTCTTGTTATTTTTTTTTTTGCTATTTCAAAATTACTTACCATCATTATCCATTTTTTCGATGCAAGTTGGAAAATTTGTTTTCCAGGATATCGTCTGTCACGTATCTTAAAAAATATTTCAAACAATATAAAAACAAGTCAAGGTATGTTGGTATGAAATGTGGTTACTATGGCTTTCTTATACCATAGACAGACGACAGCCTTAATTTGCATTAAAAATAAAATTTCATTTATGAACCAGTTTTTTGTTTCAAAACTATTGTTTGTCTGTGTATAAAAATTTCTTTACAATATTTTTTAGGATTACATCTTTTTGAAATTGATACATGGCAGGAAGGAAAACTAACAGCTATAATGAAGATAAAACAGCTCCAAATTTGAAAAAATGTTGAATTTTGTCTTTATTTTTAATTTTTATTTTCGTAAACGTAAACAAATTTGACAGCAATCTATTTATTTTCTACAGCATTGCCATATTGAAATTGCTTAATTCAGTATAAATTCAGTTTGATTTTGTGCATTAACAACACATAAAAATGAGGATAATGTACAAGTTCATTTGAATTAAGGCTGTTAATGCAAATTAAGGCTGTCGTCTGTCTAGGCTATTATTGTTGTTTTTGTATATTGTGGCGTAGGCAACTGAAATCATCTGTTACAATTGAAAGAAGAATTTGGCTTCTGAGGCTATATTTTTGAAAGAAAAAATCGGTCCTCAGCTTCTGAGGCGATTTTTTAATAAAAATAAATACACAAGGTCCCCAACTCCTGAGGTTTTTTTCCTATAGACAAAAATTTGGTTTTCAGCTTTTGCTCATGGTACAATTATAAAAGGTAACAGCAAATCCCAGCTGATTTGATTCCAACGTAATACTAGTGTCAATATAAATTTGACAAATTATGTTTTTTAAAATCACCCAAAATTGGGAAAGCATACAATTTGAAATTGTTATTTATTAAATGTGCTCTCGTATTCAATTTACTTAATCTGCCTGCTGGGAAAGTTTGAGGAAGCGAATCTTTCTTCGAGGAATAACTCGCTATTCCCAGCATTTTCATATGTGTTACACATATATATGGCAATGGCTCAATTATAGGAAAGATGTGGAAGCGATAGAAATATAAATTTGATATATTTTCATTCATGTTTTTCAATTTTTATTTTGAGGATTCGAAAATATTTCATTTTGAAAATAAAAATAATTTGATGATAATTTGTTTGTTTGTTTACATTTTTCTGTCAAATGAGTTGACACTAGTAGAACTTACAACAACAAATTTCCATGTGGTTGTTGTATCGTTTTTTGTACAACAACACTTGCTGTTACCTTCTATTATTATACCATGGCTTTTGCTGTAGAACGATCAGTGACCATGTGTCATTAATTCATATATGTTGTACCGATTTATTGTGTTATCACTTCAAAGTGAATATCATTTAATGTTTACAATGTAGACCGTTATTTTGCGTGTGAACAAAGAGGGACACGCAAAAGTAGTGGTTTACATTGTTAACGTCAAATAACGATATTTACTACGAAGTGATAACACAATAAGTCAATAAATAATTGTTCTGATCGCAATCGTCTCATTTTAAATTTGATCTTTTTTCTATAGAAGAAAATTATGCTGTAGAACGATCAGTGCCCATACGTCATTATTTTATATACGTTGTCTAAGAAGTGACAACACAATAAGTGTTATCACTTCTTAGTGAATATCGTCATTTTATGGTTTACATTGTAGACCGTTGATTTGCTTGCGGAAAAAGAGGAACACGCAAAAGTAGCGGTTTAGATTGTAAACGTCAAATAACGGCATTCACTATGAAGTGATAACACAATAAATAATTGTTTTGATCGCAATCGCCTAAATTTAAATTTAATCTTTTTTCTATAGAAAAAATGTGCTGCTCCGTTTCTGAGCCCACATTTTTTTATGAAAACAATTTCACCTCAGCATCTGTCGCTATATTTTTCTATTTCCCTTTATAAAAAATTTAAACAACAATATTTAGTTTACAGTACATTTCGGTACACAAAAATGTTTATTCATATTTTTTTTATTGTTTATTTCTTTTTGTATTATTTTTTTTTTGTATATATGTAGAGAGTAATCCTATTGTAATTTTACCACCAAAACCACATATACATGTGTGTATGTCTGCAATATGTTGTAGTGGAAAAAAATTAAATAAATTTGAAAATAAAATAAAAAAACATTAACTATAAAATCTGAAAAAAATATATAAAAAAAATATTTTACAAGGAAATTTTGAAAATTAAAAAAAAAGTAATTAAAGTTATTTAATTTACAAAAAGTATTTTTTTTTTGTGTTAAGATTATATTTTTGAGTTAAATCTAAACACTTATATTATAGATATATAATGCTAGGGTGTTGTCGATTTTAATATGTGATATATATTTTTTAATAAAAAAATAAAAAAAAACTAAATGTATTTACTAAACCTAATTTTAAACATTAATTTTATATAACAAAATTGACATGTTTTTTTTACAAAGAAGAAGATGAAACAAACAAGAAATGAATGGATAACACCCAGAGTTGATTTTATGTTTTTTTTTGTTCTTAAATTTTGCCTAAAAAATTTGTAATCTTTAAGATTTTGAAAATTCATATGAAATAATATTTATTTTTTTTTGTGTGGGGATTTTTTTAATATTACTTATTTTTCTGCTAAATAGTTAATAACACAAATGTTTAATTATTTTTTAAAGATATTTTTTTATTATAAGAAATATTTTTTTCTGTAATATTTTTATATATTAATTTTATAAAGAAAAAACTTCTGCCAATTGCACACTTAAAATCCTGTAATATGTTTATGTTTATTTTTCAAAAAAAAAATCTATATTATTAAAAATATTTTATATAAAGAAATTTAATTTAAAAAAAATCAGGCAGTCTATGAAAAAAAAACAATAATTGGAAATAATAGTCAAAAACAAGGCAGTGGTGTTTGGAATAAAAGTTGAATGTTGCTGCGACGAAAAACATCAATTGATTCAATATTTAAATTCAGTCATAATATTCGAGAGAAGTGGATTGAGAACCTAATTTTTTTTCTATAGGAAAAAAGTGGACTGAGGTCGAAATTTTTTCTATAGAAAAAAAGTGGACTGAGGTCGAAATTTTTTCTATAGAAAAAAAAAATGGTACATCAGTATTTTTTCTATAGAAAAAAATTGGCCAGAAAAAAAGTGATCTGAGTACCAATTTTTTTTTATAGAAAAAAGTGGTCTGAGAACCAAATTTTTTTTAGAAAAAAAGTGGCCTGAGGTCCAAATAGAAAAAAAGTGGCCTGAGTACCAAATTTTTTTCTATAGAAAAAAGTGGACTGAGGTCGAAATTTTTTTCTATATAGAAAAAAAGTGGCCTGAGGACTAAAAAAAGAAAAAAAAATCCCCATAAACTGAGGACTAATTTTTTTCCTTTATTTTGTAAAAAATTGTTCTTCTTTTTTTATTATCTATTGCATATTTGATTTTATTGTTGTTTTGTACTAAAGAAGAAGTGGGGGTAATGAAAAAAAAAACAAACATCAAAATGAAAAAAAAAAAAAAACGAGACTATAAAATGAAATTATTAAATAAAAATTAAGGTAATTGGAATTCAAAATTAGAAAATTTAAATAAATTGGGGCATATTAAATACGATGTATATATATGGAATAGAGGATACATATATTTAACTATCTTCTAAAAAACAACAAAACTCACCAAGAATTACAAGAACAATTTGTTTTTTTTTCTGTTTCTGTTAAAGCCAACATTTTCACAAAGAAGAAACCTAATTACAAAAAAAGAAATGTGTTTACAACCTTTTTTTCAAAATGATTTGTTCCAAACAAATTATTTTTTTTTCGTCTTTTTTCTAATCCCCTCCAGTTTTTATTTCAGCATTTGGTTGTAATTCATTTTCTTTGTCGTCAGTGGCGGTGGTTGTGGTGGCGGTTGGGACTGTGGATGTTCCTGTTGTTGTTGCTGCTGCTGTTTCCTTTTCCACCACATCCATTTTATGATTTTGGCTATTCTGTTCTTCTTCCTGGGATAATTTTGTGTCCGCCGGTGGCTGTGACTGCGGCAGCGGCTGTTCACCACCTCCCCCCCATTCTATTAAATACTGCATTTGGCCATTGGGTAGCTTACGTTTGGCACGTATTGAGAATTGTTCTCCTGATTCTATGCGATTAACAATACCAAAATATTTATTAACAGTTTGTTTTAAATCTTCATGAGATTGCTGTGCGTTTTGTGAATTGTGTTGATGCTGATGCTGTTGTTGTTGGGTGTGTGATAATGCGGATGACAACGACGAGGACCCGGCGGTCGTTGTCGATGAGGCAGATGATTGATTTGAGGATACCGAATTACGGCGACTTGTGTTGGGCGAACTTTTTGGTGGCCGCTGTCTTAAGCGACGACCATGGGCTGGTAGCAAGGGTTTAGTTTCGGGTTCCTTAACTTCGTTGGCAGTGGTGTTGGTGCTGGTGGCGTTGCTTGATGATGATGTTGGCGAGGAGTTACTATTATTGATGTTCAAGGAATTTATTGCATTCGATGAGGATGATAATTTTGCATTAGTTGTTGTGCTTTGTGTATTGAACAGGGAAGCAGCTGTTGTGGTGGAGGCTGCAGCCGCAGCTAATAAATCTTTGGCATGTATGGGATAATAATTTGTGGGTATTGGATTTATGGTGGTTGTACTTATAACCTGGAAGAGAGGGGGAAATTAAAAAAAAAATATTTTAGAATTAAAAAAGTTATAAAAATAAATTTAGAAAAAAATTGCCTGAGGATCAAATTTTTCCAAATTAAAAAAAAATTTTTTTCTATAAAAAAACTGGTTTGAGGATTTATTTTTTTCTATAGAAAAAAAGTGATCTGAAGATTACATTTTTTCTATAAAATGTGGCCCGAGGACCAAATTTTTCTATCAAAAAATTGGTCTGAGGACCAAAATTTTCGCTACAGAAAAAAAAGTGGCCTGAGGATCAAATTTTTCAATATTTTCCTCTAGAAAAAAGTGGCTTCATTCCCATAGATAAATAAAAAACTTTCTAAGGATTTATTTTCTAAAGAAAAAATTTTGTCCTCGGGCCAATTTTTTCTAAAGAAAAATATGGATAAATTTGATCGAGGTCACGTTTTTCTGTAGAAAAAAAATTTGGTCCTCAGATAAATTTTTTTTATATAAAAAAAATTGTTCTCTGGTCACTTTTTCTATAGAAAAAATTTGGTCCTCAGGTTAAGATGTTTTTATAAAAAAAATCGTTCCTCAGTTTTTTTCTATAAAAATTGTTCTTCAGCTTCTGAGTATTTTTCTATAGAAAAAATTTGTCGTCAGCTTATACAAAATCCATTTTTTTTGCAGACGAAATTTCGTCATTATGTGAGCCCATTTTATAGAAAAAAAATTGGTTTCAATAGAAAAAATCAGCCCTTAGCTTTTACAGAAACAAATCGTTGTTTAGCTTCTGAGGAAATTTTTTCAAAACAATTTTTTTTCTAATAAAAAATTACTCATCAGAATCTGCAGATTTTTTCTATAGAAAAAATTCGGACTTAGCTTTTGAAGCCATTTTTTCTATAAGGATTTTTTTCTAAGCATATTTTTATAGAAACATATCGGTTCTCAGCTTCTGAGGAAATTTTTTCAGAAGAAATTTATTCTCAGGATTTTTTTTTTTTTTCTGTTAAAAAAATACTCAAATCTGCTGCGGTACTTAGGTTTTGAAGTCATTTTTTTTTTCTTTAAAAAAATCGCTTAACAAGCTGAATTTTTTCTTTGAAAAAAAAAATTGTCTTCAGAAGCTGAGGACCGAAAATAGTTCCCTAGCATTTAAGAATTTTTAATAGAAATTTTTTTATTTTTTTTTTTTAAATTTCAAATTTCCGCTTACCTCAACATTTGCTGACAGTCTTCTTATACGCCTTCTGCGCACTTCTTGATTTGGCCCGATTGTTATATCTTTGGCACTCAGTCTTCGCTTAATTGTCCTTACTGTCCGCGGCTGACCGGCAGCCTTGGAATTTAATTTCGGAAATAGTCCAGATGTCTTTAGTCCTGCCAATTTCGAACTAAAATCCAAACCATTAACCAGACCAAAACTAACGGATTTCCTGCCACCACCACTCGACAACGATTGTGCAGATGAGGGGCTTTTCTTTTTGGGTGTTATCTGACGGAATGGATTATTTTGTCCCAAAAAGTTTTTTGGTGGCGGTATAATCAGATCTAGCGAAGTGCAACGGGAGCTACTGCTAGAATTCTCATCGGACGATGAATCGATTAAACGTTGTTTTTCAACATAGCTTTTGGTTAGCGAGAAGGCTTTGCGTTTTCTCGAACTTTTTTCAACATTTTTGTTGTTGGCATTTATTGCATTGGTTGTTGTTGTTTCGGTTGCGGTTTGTGGTTTTTCATCCAAGCTATTGCCATTGATTTCGTTTAGGATTTTTTGTTCTTTTTTGGGTGACGAGGATGCATTTTGTTGATCCTTTTGTGTTTGGATACTACTACTACTACTGGGTATGATGGCATCATTGGCATTATCATCTTCAACATCAAATTTTCCTAAAGTTGTTGTTGTTGATGATGACGATTTCATGTCATGTTCCACCTGCTCCTCCTGATGATCTGTGCTTTTAGTTTTCTTCTTAGCTTTATCTAAAATAATTTTTATAGGTATTTCATCATCTGAGGTATCATCGAATGCATAAATATCCCTCGGACATTTATTCTCGTCGGACGTTGTTTTCGGTTTTGATGTTGGCGTTTGATTTAGATTTTCTAGCACTGGATTAAATTGAATATCTAAATTTTCTGGGGCCTCTGGCAATAGTTTCAATTTCAATTTATTCATCACGAAATCATCATTAATTAGCTGATGGTGTTGTCGTCGTCTTTTAAGACTCGGCGGTGGTTGAACAAATGGTGGCCCATTTGTCCGCAATGCAAAGAAATAGTGATCCCGTTTTAACTCTTTGCCACCGACAAATCGGTCCGGGTTATCTTTGAGCGTGCATCTGAGTTTATCGAGAAATTCATTTTCTGGCATCATTTTCCACTGAAGGGAATGAAAAGAGAGGATTAATTTAAATACATATTTTTTAAAATTAACGTGCAATTTATTTACTTACCTCCTTTGGCATGGGTAAACTACTTTTACGTTTCTCCAATGCAAATGGATAAATGTCTTTTAACAAATGATGATATTTATGATTTTGATGTTTCTTCATGGTCGATAGATTGTAGATAATCAGATGCAATAAATCCACCCAATCGACTTGTAGACGTCTTAAGTATTCCTCACCATTATTGCATACAGTACAGCAGAACACAAAGAACCTGAAAAAAAGAAAATAATAAACATTAAAAAACTCTTCCTGAGACTCTAGGGAAAAATATACTGCAGCTGATGAGTATCCAAAGTCCTCAGAAGCTGAGGAGAACAGAACCAAATGTTTTCTACAGAAAAAAGAAACACCTCAGAAACTTGTGAGAATTTTATTTCATAGCAAAAATTTTTTGCTAAGTATCTTAGGATTTTTTTTTCTGTAAAAAAAATGGCCCTCAGTTTAGAGCTGTGCACAGAAAAAAATCCTGAGAAACTGAAGACTGGTTTTTTTTTAAAAAAATCCTGTGAAGCTGAGGCCTTAAAACAATTTCAGTTTCTGCGATTTTTTTATAGAAAAAATTGGTCTCAGATTTTGAAAATTTTTTTCTACAAAAAAATTTGATCCTAATTTTATCAGTTTTTTTTTGTGGATCTTTTTTTTTTGAAAATTATTTTCTGATCCTGATCTCCTCAGGCCTTTTTTTTTTTTTGAAAAAAAGGTCTTCAGCTTCTCAGGATTTTTTTCATAGGAAAAAATAGTCCTTACTTTCTCATGGTTTTTTTTCTAAAACAAAAATTGGATCCACAATGTCCGATGTTTTTTCTACAGAAAAATTTGTTTCCATCGATTTTGAGAATTTTTTTCTTTAAAAATTTTTTCCTAATTTCTCAGGATTTTTTTTTTGTAGAAGAAGTTGATCCTCAGAATTTGTTTTTCTATAGAAAAAAATTGGTCTTTAGTTTCTCAGAAATTGTTGAGGTCTTTTCCCACAGTATCTGAGAATTTTTTTTTAAAGAAAATAATTTTGTCCTCCAAAAAAATTCAAAATATTTTTTCCAACTTACACATCACCCCTTAAAAGATTGCCCTTGAATTTCTGGGTACAATCAATGTGATACCAATTTAAACAATGCCAACACTGTAACATATTCTGATCAAATTTTCCCGATTTTCCACAATAACAATATATTTGTTGTTCATTGACACGGTGTTTGTTGTCCCAGGTTAGGGAATTGAGCTGGAAGAAGATGAGAAAAAAAATTGAAATTCATTTTCAAAAACCAAAAAAAGAATAAAAAAAACAACTCACATCATATGGTAATTGATGACAAACATCTCCCACCTGCAATGGCTCCATATCCTCCTCTTCCTCCGGCTCCTCCTCATCATCGTCGTCATCCTCCACATCCATATCTTCATCGTCCGGATGGGCGGATAATTTCATGGGCTTATCACAACGTTTACAATACCATATTCCACTATTTTTTGACGTTTCCATAGTACATTTACGATGATAGCCACGACCACAACGTTCACAGATTTCGACCTTGGAATCAGGTTGCTGTTGTTTACATGATACACACATAGGTTGTTGTTGTGGTTGATTCGCATGTTGGCTATCATTGGAATTGGTAGAGGATGAATTGGAATTATTGTTGTTGTTGCAAGAAGAATTAGTGCCGGAGCCGCCACCACCAAGTTTTCGCATTTCCCCTGGATTACACCACTGTTCGGTTTTATCATCGAAACGTACAAGAAATTGTTGGCGGGCCATATCAATTACGGTGCCCAAGTAGAAACGACCATCTTGTCGTTTGATGAAAACATCTTCACCATTATTAAAGGGAGGAGGTGGTGTTGGCGGGGGTGGGGGTGAAGCGACTGAGACGGAGGCTGTTGTTGTCGTGGGTCCTGTTGGTGTGCCACTTCCGCCTTTATTGCTGTTAGTTGTTACAACAGATTCCGGCGAGGGGGGTGTGGGTGGTGTTAGAGGTGTATTGACCGTGGTGGTGTTGGTGTTCCCAACATTACTTGACGATATTGTTGAGGTGTTGATGTTATTTTTATTATTCGGTGCCTTCGTCTCCTCTTGGGCCATTTTTTCAATATTTTCTGCCACATTTGCAAATTTTGTTTTGGTGGTCGATGGCAAATTCTGCAACTCCATGGGACTCGATATATTTTTTGTTGTTGTCGAAATGCTATTTGCATTCGTTTTATTAACAACACTCGTTGAGGAGGGCGTGGGTGGTGTATTTTCCGGTGTTGTGGGTGGTGTATGCGGCGTTGTGGCCGTTGTTGTTGAATCCGGCTCATCAATGACCAAAGCATGCGAGGAGGAAGAGGATGATTCAAATGGATCGTTGTTGTTGCCGTTATTTCCTAGTGGTGGTCCGGTCTCAATAATGGCCTTATGCTGTATGGCTGGTATAATGGGCGAGGGTTGTTGGGCCGGTGTGGAGGCCAAAGAATTTGATGCCGATGATGATGAAGTGGTGCTGGTGGTGTCGGTGTATAGGTTGTTGATGCAAATATTAATGCGATCCAAGACAACAGTTGATGACCCGCCGACGCCGCCGCCACCACCACTATTACCTGGGGAAGGATTATTGAGATTATGGCTACCAGCTACTGCTCCACCGGCATTGGCGGATTGTAGAGGAGAATTTGTGGCCAATATTTGTTTGGAATTACCATTACCACCAGCCGGTACATAATACTGTGGCATGTGCAGTGGTGTTGTTGCAATATTTGAGATATTTTGTGTTGTGGTCGAGGGTGCAGCCCCTATAAAATGCTGATGCTGCTGCCCAGCGGCTGCCGATGTTGTAAAATGATGTTGACTCAACAATTCCGTTGGAGTATGATGGAAATTGTGTTGCTGTTGTTGCTGCTGCAACAAATGTTGGGGGAAAATGTGCTGCAATGTTTTTGAATTGTTCAAATTGAAAACATGCTGTGACGACGTTTGTTGTGGTATATAACCCCCCGACGAGGCTACATTTGCTGGTGCCGTCGAAGAGCTTACAATACGTATATTGCCACCTTGTTGCAAGGCAGCTGATATTCTTTGCTGTTCTGCCGGATTTTGTGGCAATGATGGTTGTTGGTGTGTAAAATTATTGGTTATCAATATGGTGTTGGGATGTGTGGTGGCATGTCCCGACGGTGGACTTGTTGTCAAACTTTGTCCAGACGTTGTGGTATAAAATCGTTGTGGCGATGCACCCAATGCTGCGGCTGCCGCCGCCAATTGTAATTGCCTGGGATCAGCATATAGACCGGCCGCTGTTGCCAACTGTTGCTGTGGATGATGATGATGTTGTTGTTGAGGTGGTAGTGCTGGATGATGCTGCGCCAAATGGTGTTGGTGTTGTGGAGCATTATAAAATGTATTCAAGACATGAGCATTATTTTGTGTGGGGGGAGAAACTGTAACATGTTGTGCCAATTGGCCATGTGGTGGTGGTGGCAATTGGCCCTGAACTCCAGTTATGTTATTGGGATTAAATTGATTGTTCATCATTTTGGTTTGGTTTTTCTTTCCTATGGTTTTTCAATCCAAACCTAGAAAAAAAAAAAATAGAAATATAAATTTTATTAAAAATTGTTTGAGAAAAAATTAAAACAAATCAATTTTGCTATTATACAAACTTCGTTGATCGATCACATACTATACAAAAAATGCATGTATGTACATATGTATTACGTTATGTGGTACATAAAGTATATAAAGCCGGCGACTGCGGTGGCGTCCACAAAACCCAACTACTTTTTCTATCCACTTAAAGTTCTTAAAGACATCACAGCATTGAAAAAAATACAAATTTTTTTAATGGAGTTTCCAATTGTTCCCATTTTTTTATTCAAAATAGTTCCTAAATTGTTGTCTGAGTCCCTAGGCAGCTTCACCATTCTTGGTGGGCAAACAAAACCACAACAACAACACCTATGTACCACCATTATCGTCGTCGTCGCCGTATGTATTCTTCTGCACACTTACAATCTTTTTGTATATATTAATGCTTCATTTAGGTGTCTCGTCTCTGCATGAATATTCTTGTTCAAACACTTTTTTCTTCTCCTTTTCAGCATAAGTTTGCTGGCTGGCTTTTTTAATTCATTGACATTGCTTGATATATGGTTTGTTGTTAATTATTATTAATTGAAAACAAAAGTGGAAACATATTCTAAAGTTAATTCAACAATTGAAACCAAAAAATCTTAAAACAGTCAGCCATTTTTTCCAAATATATTCTTCTTTTCAACTGACATCGATTACTTGATGGCTGGCGGCGGTTATTCGTGCCGCTGTTGTCTGCTGCGGCAACTGTTGTGGTGCTTAGTCAAAAACGTAACGTAACACGCATATCAGCTGTTTTATTTTGGATATTGGTGAGTGGCCACCTAGTTGCAAATATATGTGTTGTTTTTTTTTTGTTTATTTTATATAAATCCTTTAATATATGTGGGGTATTTTAAATTTAAGCTATGTTTACATTACATGTATGTTTTAATAAAATACATTATTTAAGGTCATTTACATTACAACTTTCTACAGGGTTAACCTACTCTATGATGATTTATATGACATGTACACAATGGAACCGACAATTGAAACGCAATGGGTTAATGAAATTCGGTGCAATGTAAACGTTCTACGAGATTGTTTAGTCGTTTGTTTGTAAACCAAGTAAATAGGTTAAAAGGGGAAAACACATAAGAGGACTTCACGCGAGCCATCAATGCCGTATGTACTGTCAAATTGTACTTACTCACTTAGCTGGCTTGTGACAGAAAAATTTGTTCCATAAGCCGAGCTTAAAAAAAAATTCCAGACGAGCCGGTATAGTGCGCAGCCCTTCCGATTTAAAAGATCATGTCTCGAAATGTTCTCTTTCACTTGATCTTTCCATCTAATTCGTGGCCTTCCCCTTCTGTGTGAAATATCAGCTGGTTCGCTTTTATATGCCTTTTTAGCTGCGGCATCTTCATCCATTCTCACAAAATGATCTAGCCAACGTAGTCAATGCAGCTCGATACGTCAGACAATGCCGATGTCCGAGAATAGGTGGTACTACTTATGGTTCATTCGACGGCGATATTCACCATCAACGCAGATCGGTCCATAGATCTTTCGGAGAATTTTTTTCTCAAACATTCAAAGAGCTGTCTCATCTTCTTGCGCAAGTACCCATGTAACAGCACGGATAGTATCAGCGTCTTGTAGAGTGCGAGTTTTGTCTGGCGGGAGTTGGCCTCTGTTGGCCAGTTTTAATTATGACGTTACCAAGTTATATTCAATCTTTGACTACCTCGAAGCTGTAGTTCTGAAGTTCCAAGGTAGTGGTCCGAATGCCTTCCGTCTATCACAACAAGATCGATTTGATTTCTCGTTGTTTCGGAATCGAGAGAAATCGAGGTAGCCTTGTGCATATCGAGATGCTTGAATGTGGTGCTGCTAAATACTATGCGTTTTTTCTGCCGCGAAGTCAGTTAACCTCATGGCGTTGTCGAATGTTTCTAAATGGATGCTGAATATTCCGACGGTGGGACCAAAAATATTTTCCCTTCCGATTTTTGCATTAAAATATCCCAGCCGAATTTTAATGTCATGGCCAGGGCAGCGGTCATATGCAGTTTCTAGGCGCTCGTAAAATATGTCTTTGGTCTGGTTTCATTTTTGTCTTCCGTTTTTTTACATTCACACAATGGGAATGGCAACTTAAACAACCATTAAACCATTAGGGAGGTCATGGCTTTGCTTATTTTTGATCGCTTTTGCTTATTTTTGGTTAAAAGCTATGCTTACAATTTATGACAAGGGGGAGGTGACACAAATAATTGCAGTAAATCTGCTTACGTAATACTTGATACCAATGATCATTTATCAAAAAAAAAAAACTCGTTCAGTGTAAATGCGCCCTTAAACGTGTTCAGTGTAAATGCGCCATAAGAAACATAAATCACTACTGTTAAGGCACGTTTAGATTTACAAAATCCACTCGATATCAAATGTCAATTTCATTACGTATACGTCAAATATAATCCACTGGATTTGTGCACAGGATTAACGTGACGTACACGCTATGGAATTGACGTTTGAGATCAAGTGGATTTAGTAGTCTAAACGCGCTCTAACTTTATTTGAGTATTTAATATAGGTTACTAAGTGTAAACATTATGTTAGAGTTTTTGTTTGTTTTTTTTTGTTGTTTAATTAATTTTTTTTAATTAAATAATACTATAAAAAATTAATTTATTGTGTGATTTTCTAATGTAAACGTTTCCCTTTCTTCTCTTCTTGTGTTTCATAAAACAAGTACTCACTCTGTCTGCCTCTCTCTCAATTACCGACTACCCAACTACTTTTTTACTTGTCAAATTACTCAACACTGGTTACTGGTTGGTTGGCTGGCGTTTTCCCTCATGCGACCTAATTTAATCAACAGTGTTTTTTTATACCAAGAGTGAATAGAAGACAGCAGAAGTTCAGTGTTTTTTTTGCAGCTAAAAAAAGAAAAGAATTGAAGAAGAAAACTAAATAAGTTGAGAAATTTGATGAAATATTCTTAATTACAGCCAAAAATAATCTAACAAAAGTTTTGTTTCGATTGTGAATGTGTGTGCGTAAAACGATTTGATTTGATGTAAGATAATTGCTGAGAAATTTACATATGATTGTATTGAAATTTTCCCTTTGGCCGTTTCTTATGTGTTGTAGATTTATCAATCGGTTCCAATATTCCTCCGTTCGTTCGTTTATTCGTTGTCGTTTCGGTACGGTGCGGTTGTATGTCGTTCGTTCATTCGTTCGTTTTATTCATTCTTTTTCAAGATTACTTTTTTCCTTCAGACACGGACACACACACGCACGTATTGTGTAGAAGCCAAGCAAACAACACACCATCATTGCTTTTTGTTGTTGTTGTTTTACGACGACGACGAGCAACGAAGTTTTTTTTGTGATTTGATTTTTTTTGTTGCTGTTGTGTAGCTGTTATTCAGGTGGTATTAGTGAATGTGCCAGCCAGCCAGTTTAACCAATAACAAGCAACCATAATAAAAAAATAACCATTCCACACAAAACAACCATTGAATAAAAAAGAGAACACCAAAAAAAACAAAATGTGAAAAAACTACTACAAAATAAAAAAAGAAAAAAAAAACAAAATTAAATGATTGTGTGTTAATTTGTGCTGTTGTTGTTGGTACTTTTCCTACTGTGTTTTTTTTCGTGTTTTGTCTTGTTTGTTGGCCTGCTTGCATGCATTCATGCCTACTCGGCCTGCCGCAACGCATTTGATTTTGTTTGACTACTGCCACAACGAAGAGATGAGATGTACGCATTCATGTTGAAAACCCCAATTGTTAAAGAAAATGGCTGATGATAATTGTTTGCAATAACAACAACAAAATGAAAATTAATCAATTTCTTTTTATTTAAGAAAAAAAGTGTAGTGGAAATTTTTTGAAAAAATGAAACATTTTTTTATGAATTATTTTCGTTGTATGTTTTCATGTTGGTGGGTGTGTGTGTGTGTGTGTGTCAATGTGTTATGGTGATGATGAAGATTCTGAGGTTATGTTGAAATTAAAGAAATAAGGTGCACAATTTTTTTCTTTTTTGGAAAAGTTGCTTACAAGAAAAAATGTGTAATGAGGAAAATGAAAAAATCTCCAAGGAAAAAAACAACAACAAATGAATGTTGAATGACGTGTATCGTACATAGCGCTTTGCAAACAAGGCAGTCAGCCAGACAGTCAACAATAACTGGAAACCAGCAATGTTACTTTTTGATGCCAAGCAACCCAAGACGACAACGACGAATGGACGACACGAAGCCAAGAGCAACCCACCAACGAATCAACAAACAAACAATTGTCCGGGTGCTTCGTTGTGAATATATACATATACCCTGCCCATTCTTGACAAAATTTAAAAAAAAAAAATTAAATTTTTTTCAAAAAAAAAAAAAAATAAAATAAAATAAAAAAAAAATTAAAAAAAATTCCACTACAATTATCAGCATTCGATTTTTTATTATTAGAATTGAAAAAAGTGAAATCCTCATTTTTTAAGCAATTACCAGTATTCAATTTTTTATTATTATTGGAATTGAAAAAAGTGAAATTCAATTTTATTTATTATTGGAATTGAAAACAAAAAAATATATATTTAAAATTGTTTTTATACATATTTCAGTTTTCAACAAAAAATAAGAACAACAACAAGAAGAAATCCAAAGAAGCAAGAAGAAACACGCACACGAAAATTGTAATTAAATGTAAAATAAAAGGAAGAAAAACAAAAAAACAAAACATATAAATATCCAAAAAAAGAGCCCCCATTACAACAACAATTCTTTTGCTTACAGAAATTACAACAACAACCCACATAATTGCGAAGAAGCAAAAAATTTTAATTGAATGCTATCATAGATTTCGAAGTGCTATTTCAAACAAATCTATAAAACAAAATAAGAAGAAGAAAGAGAAAGAGAATTTCTTTAAAAATCTGAAAAAAAAATTCATTCAAGTTGGATACCAAAAGCATTAACCTGGAGAAAATAACAACAACAAAATCTCAAAAAAATATGCACACCTTTGGTGAGACAGGGGCCGGGGTGCCGGCCTTCTTAGCCAAACTCTGGCGTTTGGTTGAAGATCCGGAAACCAATAATCTCATTTGCTGGAGTAAGGTGAGTCCAAAGTGCAGATTTTTTTTTTTTCGAAATATATGAATTATATAATTTTAGAATATATGAAGAAGTAGGGACAAACCTTTTCGTCAGGATACTGTAATAGGACAATGAATTCTATTTTATGATTAACATACCCAGTGATCCGAAGATCTAGGGATAAATATTTTGTCACGATATTTAAAAAGGATTCTATTTTATGATTAACATACCCAGGGTTCCGAATGTTAAGGCATCCGGAACAAGTCTAGTTTAGGATCGTTTTACCAGAAGAGGTTGCGCTCTTCACACTATGTAAAGGAACTACCAGAAGTGATTGTGGATCAATGGGTCCCATATTCGGAATTGATGTTGTCGAGGTAAAAATATTATAATTTGGATCAAATCGGACATTTCATTGGCTTGATACTTTTATTAAGATTTTGAATATACTTTTATGGAGATATATCAGAAGTAGTGGACCGACGAGTCCCATCTTCGGACATGAGCAAGATATGGACACAGTATTACGAGATTTGCATTGTTTCGATCAAATCGGACATTCCATTCATTTGGTATTGAAGTAACATCTTCACAATTTGGGTGGAAGGTACCAGAAGAAGTCGACGGATACATACCATCTTCGGACATGATCTAGATTTGGTAAAAGTATTACGATTTGCAAAGTTTGGATCAAATCGGAAATTTTTTTTCGTTCGAATTAACAAAATTTTAAAATCGTTTCACTTTGTGTGGGAGTTACCACAAGGTGTGGTTCAATGGGTCCCATCTTCGGAATTGAGGTAGTCTCGAATTAAACATTATGTGATTTCGATCAAATCTGACATTTTATTCGTTTGATATTGAATTAATAATATTTCAAAACCTTCACAATTAATGGGGGAGGTACCAGAAGGAGTGGTGGACGTAAGTGTCCCATCTTCGGACACGATCTAGATTTGGTAAAAGTATTACGATTTGCAAAGTTTGGATCAAATCGGACATTCCATTCGCTTGGTATTGAATTAACAAATTTTAAAAAATTTAAAACTTTTTGCTTTCCAAAGTGTTGCCATTTTTGGCTGTATTCTTTTTCGGAAAATATAAACTCCCCATAAAATTCAAATAAGGGTCCATTATAGCCTCTCACCAATCATATCCTACATATAGACTACACGTTGAGCTTGCCAAAATGGTGTCATTTGTGGCTGTATTCTTTTTTGAAAAATATGGACTTTAGAATCGTCTTCCCCACAAATTGGCTAATAATATCTAACTCTAGGATAAACAAATTCAAAAAATTCTGTTTGTTTTTTTACTAAACTAGAGTTGTGGAATCCGCAGAAGACCTTAAAGGTTGCTGTGAAGACTTACTAATAGTTCTGACTTTCGCCTTCCTCATGGCAGGTTTTCCACAATCCTTCTTGGTCACTGCCCCCGAAACAGTCTTTAATGCGAAACCTGAAGGTTCCTGTGAAGACTCAACAATACGTTCGGCTTCCGTCTTCTCCTGCCATCCCACTATTTTTTTGACACCTACCGGAACACGCGAGACCAAAGGCTGAGCTCTTGTTGTCAACATCTTCATTGTCACAGGTGTTTAAGGAGATTTCATCTTAGTCCATACAGCTTCTGCATGAGTCACTGTCAGAACTTCTGACTTTGGTCCCGTGTTTACCCCATGCTTTCATGCTTTACAGCGAGTTTCCCCCACCGTCGCCTTGTTAGGGGCCTTGGTTTTCCTCTTCGCTCTGTTAGACTTCTGAGCTTTCCTCTTTCTCTATCGGGATCTGCTGCTAATTTCATTTTCGAAACTTGCGAACCATATCCATAATAAAAGATGTGATATGTTGGAATTGTTTCTTCCAGCACATCTATTGCGAATAAAATTCCATACAAGTCTGTTGATTTAGAGGCTGCTGTCTTTTGCATCATCTGGATCATGGCTAGATTTTAAAAACTATTCCAGACCTACCGGGACGGTGAATGCCCCAAAGATAAAATTTTTATTAAAAAAAGGTATGGACAACAAGACAATATTTAGAGGCCGCTCTCCCCCCTTTGTATAATCTGAATCATGTTTAGATCGTGAAAATTCTTCTAGATATGCCTGGTCAGTGAATGCCTTTATTGAACGATAATTGGATTTAATTAAAAAAAAAAACATTTTATGTCGTTTATCCTTTGCATGATATGGACAAATTATTTAAAGCATACTTTTAGGCGGGGTGTTTTATATTAGCATAATTTTTTAATATTTATACCCTCCCTCAGCCTTAAGGCTGATGAGGGTATATACACTTTGATACGGTGAAAATATGCCTCATCGAAATATTGGTTTTAGACCCCATATTTCTTTGGTCAAATCCGTTTCAGAAAATTTGCAGTCGATTTACACATGTCCGTCCGTCCGTTGTCCGTCTGTCTGTCTGGCAGGTTGATGCGCACTCTCGAATGCAACAACCAATTTCATTCAAACTTTGCACAACTTCATATTTTTTCCAAACTTTGTTTAAATTCGAAGATGGGACCCATTGGTCCCCTTCTTCTGGTACCTCCCTCACAAATGGTCAATATTTCATAAAATTTTTGTCAACATTAAATCGGAAACCTCTTTGATAAAAACATATTACTTATATAAAGCTAATAATAAAATCTGTTTTTATTAAATTTATGTTTGGCCTGCTCTTCCAACCGTCGGAATTTGTCTCATAATGGAGGTGGGTGTTTATTATCCAATTTTATCCCATCTGAACAAAAGTGTGCTACGTTTTAACCGTTGACCTTTATTATGTTTGAAGACGGGCCTTATCGGTCCACTCCCCACCTCCACATAGGTTCCAAATTAGGAAATTTTCGTATGAAGCCAAGGGAATATGAAATTGGGGTTTAAAATACAACTCAATTTAACAAAAAATTAGGTTAGGTTCCTCCATGTGTGTGTAATTTTTTTAATTTTTTTTTTACTTTTGTGTTTTCTTGCATTTCTTTTATAAATATCGATAGTCTGTGAGGAGATTATAATGGTATTTCACCTAAACAATAACATGCTCCAGACACTTGAAATTATCAAAACCTGATCGAAATCAAAACCTGAGAATGAAAAAATATCGTCAATTTAGAAGAATTTTTTTTTTGCAAAACTTGTTTGAATCCTTCACATTACTTCTCTCTCTTTCCTTCCTTAATGAGAGAGGATATAATATTATTTTGTAATCTCTGATATTTTATCTCAATTATTGTTCAAAAATTCCAAATTCAAATTATATTGTCTAAGGTAATGATTCGGTTAAATGCCTGCCAGCCAGCCTGCCTGCATTGATATTGCTAGTCACGTACTCTTGTTTTGTTACTTTAATTTGTCTAGCAGCAACAGCAGCAGCGGCATTTATGGACATCTATTATATTTCATTTGTTTATTCTTATTTTTCATAATTCAAATAAGATTTGTATTACATTTTCAAAAATCGAAAATGAATCATCATTTTATTTTTGTCATCTTCCCACCGTTTCTTTCTTCTTTCTACCACCCCCGTCTCTATAACTACAAAGAAATTGCATTATGCCCTTATTATTTGAAATTTTCAAATTTAATTTTATGTGGGTGTTGTTTTATTATTGCTGTTGTTGTTGTATTCAATCAAAACAATGTAGTTAAATAATATTGGACAATTTTTGTTTTTTATATTTTATATTTATTGTGATGACGATAATCTGTGTGGTATTTTTTTAAATAATTTTTCTCAGGTCTTTATAAGGTGTAGATTTTTAAAATAATTTTGCAAAAACTTAAATGAGCCGTATATATATATTTTAAAATTTTTTAATAAGGACCCTGAGGCATACATTTATTAAATATTTTGTTTTTTCAGGTCTTTATATGGTGTAGTTTTTTTTTTTTTTGAAATAATTTTTAATGAGTACCCTGCTACCGATTTCATTCAAACTTTACACATCTTAATATTTCGTCCAAACTTAGTTTAAGTTCGAATATGGGACCCATTTGTCCACTCCTTCTGGTACCTCCCCCTCAATATGGCCAAAATTGTGCTAAAACGCTGTACAACCTATTATCTTCACCAAGCTTAGATCAAGTAGGAAGATTGGAACCATTGGTCAACTCCTTCTAGTACCTCCCCCACAAGTAGTCAACATTTTCAATATTTGTAAATCCAATATCAGGCGAATGGAAGGTCCGATGTGAACCTAACTTTGCACAACCCATTATCCTCACGAAGTCTAGATTATGTCCGAAGAGGGGATCTCCTCCTCCTTCTGGTACCTCCCCCACAAATGGTCAAAATTTTCAATATTAATAAATACAATATTAGGCGAATGGAATGTCGTATTTGAACCAAACTTTGCACAACCTTTTATCTTTACCAAGAATATATCATTTTTTAAGATGGGACCCATTGGTTCACTCTTTCTTGTACCTGCCCCTAACTAATGGTAAACATTTTTTAATGGTAAACATTAAACATTACAACAACCTATCATCATTATCAAGCCTAGATCAAGCCTAGGGTCCCATTGGTCCTTCTGGTACCTCTCACACAAAGGGTCAATCTGTCGGCAACACCAACTGACACTTTTTTACTTGTTTAAATAATTGTTGATAAGACCTCTGTAAGGCGTAGATTTTAAATAATGTTTAATAATAGGATCTCGTTTAATATGAGTTCAATTTATGTCCTTTTGCGGAGATATTCAATCTTCCAATACACACCTAAAAGTATGCAATATGTTTCAGATTTAATGTTGATCAAACTTCTCTTCGATTCTCTTATGAATTTTCCCCATTGTCACTTTTTATACCTCTCACTTTTAAGAACTCAGCAGAGTTGCTTACGAAAGTTGCATGTATAATCCCAGACTTATAGAGGGGCCTAAGATTATTTTTAGTAACAGCAATTTTTCGGATTTTTTTTTATAGAACAACTAATTCCTCTTTATGGTCTTCTGGATTTGATCTGTACGGGGACACTGGTTTTAGAGGCCATATTGGGCTTTTTAACAAC